CGCGATTAGAACTTTCTGGTGGACCTGATATTATCCAGTGGTTGTGAGTTAAAGCAAGATGTTTCAAAACAAATAAACTTATAAAAATTCGTCAAAACTCAATTTCATAATTAGATATACTGCTTAAATTATTTTAATGTAGTTGTGGTAAAACTTATTTTATTTCTTGTTTATTAAAATATTAATACTTTACCTTTGCTACCTCTAGAAAAAATATTTTCTGAAATTACAGAAAATCCGTATTATTTGAAGTCTGTGATTAATGGGTAATGATCCATATCCTACAAACTAATATATTAACTTGACAACAAAGTAATAGTGAAAAAAACATAAAATTCTTAATTGAAATAATATTTTTTTTTAAAAAAACCGTTCCAACTACGAAAATAACTTACCCCACATAAAACTTAACACTTAGAGAAAAATGTAATTTTTACGGAAATTTAAAAAATTACGATGATATGCTACTTCTGTTCGGTGCTTTTATTTATGAGGCTTACTCTAATTGTCAAATAACTTTTATTCAATACTTTGATTTTAATTTTTAAACTTTTGCTTACGGCTGGTACAACTGATGATCCATATTAGGAAGTGCTATCAGATGCCTTAAACAAAAGATTAATTTTTATTTTAGTCATCTCAGAGTTACAGTCGATACTATACCAGGTACCGTTTTCTGAAAGTGTTGACCTTAGCGAAATGCAAATAGAGTTAAGTGTGACGAAATTACAACGTTCAAATGACCCAGTGAGTGTTAAAACTGATAGTAAAAAGTAATATTCAATGTATCGTGAAAGTTCACCGATCTCCGTTCGAGTGTTGTCGAGCGTTAGCGAGTAGAGGTATTTCCAATATAGTATATCTTAATTCTGAAGGGATATAGTATATCTTAATTCTATGCCAACCTTAATCTATCAAAAGATACATCAAGATGGAATCTTTCTTTCTTTATTTAAACAAAACTGGGTGCCTAGGACGCGCAGCGGCCCCTACAACATTCATCATGAAAATTATATACAGTGAATAAAACATTTTGAATTATGTAATAATGTGGTAACATTATAATAAAGTAACCATGATTAGAAGTATGTGCAAACTTGATCGGAGATTTACATTAATTGCCATTGAAAAATGAATACAGCCATGATTAGATGGATATACATGAAATACGAGCTTAATCTGTGAAATTTACATTAATTGCAGTAGAAATTTGGAATTGAGCATTAAAAATTTATGATAGCATATATACAGAAAATCGGGATTCAAAATCATGAAGATTCTACATAAATTTTGCAAAGCCTTAGTGGCGCCATCTAGCATGCTTTAATGATTTGTGGTAGCCATAAAAAAATCAAGCCGTTTACTTGTGAAATAATAAAACAATGAAAAAATTCAATATGACAAATTGGCGTTTTTACATAACACTAGAAATATTGATGGTAGGCTTAAATTAAAAATAAAGATAAAATATGATTTGATATGTACAATAATTGATTTTTGAAAAATGAAAGACGCAATTGATGAATATAGATAAATCATACCTTGATCTATGATAAAATAACATATTTGGAGAAAATGCAGTAAAATTATCAGAGAAATATTGCTCTTTAAATACAATAGAATTTGCAAAAGAATTTAACGTGCATAAGTTAATAAATATGTATGCATAAATTGGCAATATTATCAGAAAATAATGTAATTTAATTTAACGTAAGTAAAAGTCTGCAGTGAAAACTCAAGATGGAATCAAGTTAACATGTCTTATACACTAGTGATTTGGTATTTAATATAGTGGTAGTTACGCCACATTACTCCCCATTCAGAATTTTATCTGTGATAGAATTCGATGAACGGATACCACTAGTTGATTCATGCTGTTTTCTTATTTTATTTATTTATTTATGTCATCTTTTTCTTCATTTTTTGTTTATAGCATTTCGCTCATTATAATTTTTTTCCATTTTTTTTAAGTACTTCGCTCATTATATTTTCTTCCTTCATTTTTGCTTATTGACCGGGAGACTTTATTTACTTAATTGGATTTTTTTATTTATTCGAGTGGTATATTTTTAAGCAAATCAATATTGGCAAGTTTTCATCACGTCCGGGTCACCATTGTAGAGATTTAATCTTAGGCTATGTCAACCTTCATCTATCAAAAGGTACCTCAAGATGGAATCAGTCTTAGTCCTCTCGGTTGGTCGGGGTGCCTGAGGCCGGAACGGCCCTTTACCCCTTCATCGTGAGATGCGGATCCTTGTTTTCTAAAATTGAAAGTAAAGAATTTGTAATGAGCATATTGCTAGAGTAAAATAATTTACAATGATACATGTGGTATTACATAAAAAATAAGTTATAAAAATGAGGCTTCTGGTAAGAGATTTCTACCTTTTATCCATTATATTCTCTTCGAACTACCTTAAAGTTAACATTTTATATACTAGTAATTTAGTATTTAATATTTGTGGTGGTAGTTACGTCACAATTCTTTTCTGTAAAAATACTTACTACTTGAAACACCTACCAACTATTACGCTCTTCAAAAAAGCTTTTACTTTGTAATAAAATGAAAAACAACGGGGATAAAGCACAAATCAAGTGCAGAGAGGGACGTATTATAGTTGCAGTTCTATAGAGAAAATCCTTTCTCAGAGTCTTAACACCAAATGACACCAGAAAATTAAAGAGTTCTCTTTAGATCTCTAATTTTCAGATCAGAGAACTTATTACTTTACTAATGTCACATTTGATATTTAGACGCTAAAGGAGATTTCGAACCGAAACTATAATGTACAAATTTCCATACTACATTTATGCTTTATTTACGCTGCTTTTCATTTTAGTCTGCGTCGCGCAAAGTATACCCTATCATTTTTGAACAAAATTTTACTTTGTGGCAATAAAATGAAATTTTAATTATCACTGTAAGCGGACTTTTCTCTTATACTTAGCACACTCTTTGAAGAACGTAACGACGTGTAGAAGATCTTCAATATTCACGTTTAAATTATTTTTACTTCTAGGTAGTCGAAATCATTTTAAGTCAAATTTATTAAAACAAGAATCGAGTTTGAATGCATAAAAATGGCTACGAGATTTATTGTAAAAATAAAATCTTTCGAAAAATCCCAAAAGTTGGCAGGCATATGGCGAACGATATCATGAAAGAAAAGGAAGAAGAAAAAAAAGAAATAGGAAGGAAGATATTTAAATCTTAATTTCTTATTATTTCGTAATTAATTATTTACAAATTTATGGTTGTTCAACATATGAAATCACAGCTAATAACATATTATTTTTATCGTATAATATTTTAAAGAATTTTTAAGATTTTTATCGTTTACCAACTAAACGTTTAGTTCTAGTTTCTTACATTTCATAATAGAATAAAAACTACCATGATTCTTTTACAAAAAAAGTAAGAAAAATGTTTTAAAAAATGCAGTAAATATAACAAGAAAACCTTTAGGCGCTTCTTAAAAAATAGTTTTTCCTTGGAGGCGAAAACAGTGAACCTAGATTAAAGAGTGAAACACTCTCAGATGGTTCAACAGTATTAGCTCGCTCTTAAAGAGATAAAGTTATAACTGATTGCTAATTTAACCACCCCACAATTGCATATATCCCCTCTCTACCATGAAAGTAATAAATGTAAAAACAAAATAAAGCATACAGGTAAAATACAGTGGTTGGATAAAAACGTGGAAACATTTCCAAACCAACTGTAGGTAAGCAATATTTCTTTTAGCAGTAAATGATGTTATGGAAGATTTTTATATGGTGAAATTCTTGAAAAATCATGCTCTAACTTTTTAGAGATGGTGTTATATTTACCCCATGCAAAATTCGGATAGACAAAAATGGGGAGAGGAAGCTGATAATTTATTTTTAGTTTTTATGCAGCAATTTTAAAATCATTTTGTAGTGTTTTAATATTACAATGGAATTTTTTAATTACTGGTATTGAAAATTGAAAGAAGCTTTTAACTTCCTACTCTCTTTTTGGTTGATGCATATTTTTTGATCGATGCGAATTTTTCATTGGAAAAAGGACCTCATTTTTAAAAGCTTCAGGCGTGATCTTTCAAATTGCGCCAACAATTTTGTCATATAAAATATTCCTGAAACATATATTTCTAAAAGAAAAATTGTTGTTGTTAATTAACGTCGCTCTAGAGCTGCATAATGGGCTATTGGCGACGGACTGGGAAGCATCCCGGAGGATGATCCGAAGAAATGCCATCACAATTTTGATCCTCTGCGGAGGGGATGGCACCCCCGCTTCGGTAGCCCGACGACCTGCGCGCGAAGTCGAGCACTTTACGGTAGCACAGTTTAACGAGGACCAATACCGCACACCCTCGGTCCCTACGCAGACTAATCCAAGTGGTCACCCACCCGCACACTGACCGCAGCCAGTGATGCTTGACTTCGGTGATCTGCTGGGAACCGTGTCTTAACGATCAGTCCACTGCGGGACAAAGAAAAATTGTAAACATAGAATTAGTATAGAGGTTTTCCCATATTTTTGTCGAACCCTTATATTTGCAGCAGAAAATTTGTTACCTCGTGTTGGTATTTTTTTCATGACATTGAGACATTGGAGCTATATCTAAAACTACACCTAACTGCAAGTTTGTTGTTAATTTTTATCCCTTCAACATAGCAAGCATGCTCTGTTGAAGGGATGAAAATTGGCATAGAATCTTGGGGAATCATGCTTGCGGGTTCTTCCAAATTCATTTGTTCTTTGTTTCGTTGAAATTAAAATCGAAAGAACACATAATATTGCAAACACTACAAGTGTAATAATATTAAATGGGGGGTCTTCCAAGCTTAGGTGTAAAAATCAATTGGAACCAGTAACCCAGAATTCTTCCGACAAATTCTTATAACTAGCGCCTCATTAGCATTGCACGGATAATAATCCAGAGTAAGAATGCTCCCTTGCTTTTCAAATACCTCTCGGCTAGGGAAGCCTTCACATCGTTAATCTTCAAATGTAGAGTAACGAAGTGAAGCGATTAAAGTATTTTGTTTTCTTGTTTGCTATTTCGTGTTTTGTTTTCCAATCTAAAGTTTAAGGAAATTTTGAATGGCTTTTAATGGCTCCAGATAGCACTTCTGTTGATATAAGCAAAAGCCTCAAGGATTACCTTAATCGAAATGAATCTGCCACCAAGGAAGAACAGAAAGGTTTATTAAAAAGTTTCAGCTTAGATTCTTGGTTTACCAGATCATCTGATAGTCAAGACTATGAAGACGATAAACAATCTGTCGATTCTTGGTACAGTCAAGCTGAAAAAGATTCCTATTGTACATCTTTAGTAAGTAAAATTAAAGTGCACTCTATCTTTTGTATGTATACTACTAGATATTTTCAATGTTTAGTAAGTAATATTGTTTAACGTATGACGATTTCGTGAGTAAACGTGAAACGATGAATTTTGTTAAATTATCAATGAGAATGGATATTTATCAATGAAATCCTCTTAGTATGATATTATTTATTCTTTCGCCTTTGTATGTTTATGATAGTTGCATAATTAAAATTATTCCATGAAATCTCTCAGTTATACTGCATTTTAATATTCCTTTTTTAACTAGAAACTTCATGTATCATTACCATTGCTCTCATTGTGGTTTTATAGAGCTTAAAAATAATCAGCACATTTTGTTGTATTAAGTTATACATCAATTTTCTGTCAACTATTATATTGAGTCAATTGTATTACGTGGAATTATATTGAAATTATTAAAATGGTGCATTGAGGGGGGATATTTCCGTATCGTGATCTGCCGCGCCTACTACAATCGCCTAGGTGCCAAATAGATTTTAAACTTGCAAATTTAGAAAAAAACAAAAACATGTAGATGTTTGCCCAGGAGGTGGCTACGAGTTATACCTTTCGAATTGGTCCCTTTCTGTGATGTTTTTTTAGTTTCTCGCGGGCCACTGCCCAAACGTTTCCAAGACTTGGCGATTATTCTGCCACAGATCACAATACGGAAAGATAGTGCATTCAGTCTGGTAGATAAGCCAATAAAAGATGTATAAGTTTGTCAATAGTTTGAATTGCTACATTCTGTTAGTCATTGCAAGAAGTACAATTCTTCTTCTAGCTAAAATGTTCTAACAAATTGCATGATTCATTGCAAGACAGATGATGAATCAGGGTTTCCGCTATGGTAGCTTTTTTCGCAAAATGCGAAAAGACCCCTCTAAAATGCTAAAATTCAACAAATCATTTTCGCATTTTTGCTAAAGGAGTTTACTAAATTCCATTTTTAAAAAAAGCTTCCGCGAAAAACCATGACGCTAACATCCATGAAAAAAACTTGATCAAACAAGAAGGAGAAGAAATCTAAATATCTTTCGCAAGAAGAACCATGACGCTAGCGTTCACGAAAAAAACGNCTCCCAGCGATTTTCATGTTTTCTTGCACCTCAAGAAATTCCTGTCCTCCGGTGAGCGTTTTGGCAACGACGCAGAGCTGAAAACGTCTATCACACGCTGGTTCCATTTACATGCGGCAGAGAGATGCAAACGTTGATACCACGATACGACAAGTGTGTCAATTCTGGTAGTGGCTATGTTGAAAAATAGCTGAAACATTGCTGCACTTGTTGCCAATAAATATGTCCCTGAAAGTATGAGTTCTTTTAAAAAAAAAATAGGGAAACTTACTTTCTGGACGCATCTCGTAATTCTAAAATGAATTTTCGTATTGCATGATATGATTAAAAAAAAACATTTCTTTTATTTATTTTGATAGATCTATTGTTCATATGATTAAAATAGCAATTCTTTTTGTAAAAAAAAATAAATAAATTTTTTTATTTCTGAATGAATTCAAAAAACGGAACACCTTTAATTTTTTACAAATATATTACTAAGTTTATTGATAAAAAAATAGAACACTAATGTTAAAATAAACATTGCTACATTTGTCATTAACATGTCTCAATACATGTGCGGCCCTTAGTTAGCCAACCTGCTGTGCAAGTGGCCCTACACTCAAAAAGGTTGTGCACCCCTACATTAAGCTATTCTTTGTCAGATAACTTACAGTACTTGTTTGATATAAAGTAATTTTATAAGCCTAATGGCATTTTGCTATAACTTTTTTTCAGATTTTAGCTTTTTTGCTAATGAATTTTTAGACTCAGCTTAAACCCTGTGATGAATCATTCTTTGTTAGTCTTTATTTTCTATCTATATATAGTTATTGAACAATTTGTGTTAAATTTAAACTTTTTCGCTAGGAATTAAGTGGGAAGGTGTTTAATTTTAGCTGATTAGTTGTTAACATGTGTATGAAAAGTTGTTTATTGACTCGGAGACAACCAGATGTTATTATATTTACCTAAATATGTTTATTAGCATATAACTTACCAGATTTAAAAAAAAATTTCTTACATTCTGTTTTCTTTTTCAGAGCACACAGTAAACAATTTCGACTGAAACTCTATATTTTTTATTTTATAAAATATGTTTATTTTAAAAATTTGCTTGCTTAGTAAAAATGTCATATGTTAAATGACGAATTTAATTATATTTTTTCAGTCTAAGAAACAAAGAATTGTTGGTTTTGTTGGATGCATTATAATGGGATCGCTATGCTTCTTTTTGGTTTGTAGATCAATTTAATTATGTCTATCTTTTTCATTTATATCTCTATTCTAAATTTAATACTGAATTATTTCACTACTGAATATTAGCTATGCAGAGATGCCAACTTGCTCCGGAGAGCGGAGAAATATTTTCGAGTGGTAGTTCTTTAATGTGTGATTCTTAGTTTAATAAATTTGACTTATTAAGTTTTAATCAACCACTATTTCTAAATAATTCGAAGGCTTATATGATTTGCCACTTTATTGCAGTTATGTCAGGTTAAATCTTTTTAAAAATAACCAAAATTAGCGAATATCTGCAAATTTTAGTTTGTAGTTATTTACCGTTTTTTAAAATTATTTTAGTGTGTCCGGTGTAGTTGGCTTTATCAAATTTCAACAAAATTGAGTTACAAAATCTCCGTATTTCATGACTAACAAATAATTTCTGTGGTATAATATGTGATTATCATGTACTAAATGCCAATGTTAATAATTTGAAGGTTTAATCCCAATTATGCTAATTAATTTAACCTAACTATCAATTGAGTTACAAAATCAGATACAAAAACATTCTTTCAACGTAAATAAACATGCCTTCTGTTTCCACAGATTTAGGTTTCAGACCATAAAAATTTGGGGTACATCTATCATCTAGAAAATATTGTCCAAATAATCTGGAAGGTGGTCAAAAGTTTAAGCCCAGTAATCTCATTTTAATTTTTCCCTGTTTTGTCATATCCTGAACGCTTTTTAAACAAATCAAAAACTTTTTGCTCGTTATAATTAAACTCATTTATCCAAAGCTAATTTCATGCAAAAATTCTTTTCAATTATATTTTATCTTTAGTCAACAAAACTTCGAATTGCAGATATGTGATTTTTATAGTTTTGAATATTGTAATTAGATGATAAAATACAAATTTGAGTGAAATTGGTTTAGTAGTTTTTGACAAATAAAAATTATGAACTGTGCCTTTTTTCAACATTTTTAACTTAGAAGCTAATACAGTCGTCCCCACTTAATCGCCCCTCGGATAATCGAATAACCCGCTTATACGATTAAAATTTAATGGAACCAAATCATTTTATATTAAACTAATGTCAAATTTCCCCGTTTAAACGATTATTTGTTGTTTTTTGCCCCCGCTTAATTGCATGAAGAAGTGGTACTGAAATGAAAAAAAAAAATATTTATTTTTGAGAAATGTTTCACCAGCTAAAATACAATTTTCCTTTTTAAGATAAAGATACAAGATGGTAATTTCAATAGGGACTTCTCATTCATTAGTAGGTGTTTGGGATGAAGTTGAAAAATTAATCAAGTCTTGCTGCCAGTTATACATTGGAGTAAACAAAGGGTGTTTTACCCCTGTTTGACTTACTTCACTCGCACATCATTTAGTATGTGAAAAAGGGATAGAGTGATTTGTTTTTAGGTCAAGACTTTTTCGGATAGGATCAAATAATATTTTAGTTCCAACATGATTCACTAACATTGATTAATTTTTATGTAACTTTAAATGATATTTTTTTATGATACTAAGGTAGAAAGTTTTAATTATAATTATTTATTGATCATAAAACTGAGTTTATTTGATCAAAACGCTATACTACGCATTAAATACCATTAAAAAGCAAAATTTCACAAAAATTCAGAATTTAAGATTGAATATAGCACTCCCCTTTTAATTGAATTACCCGCTTAATAGCATAGATTTGGCTGGAACCGATGGTATTCCTTTAAGCGGGGTTGACTGTACTACTTTCCCGTAAATAGATATGAATAGAGTAAATCTAAGATTCATGGTATTTTTAACACAATTGTCATAACTATTCCAAAAAGAAATAGCTCCTGATCGAACCCATGATTGCATGATGCTAACCGAGTTTATTTTGGAGGATTTCATCTTAAACTTGTCTACACCAGTTTTAGAAAAAGCCTAAATAAGAAAAATGAGTAATAACTTTGGAGTTTAAGAGAAAGTAATGTAAAAAAGAAAGGAACGTTATTTTAAATTGTATTTGAAATAAGTCAGTACTGATAGAAGAATATATGCTTCCGAAAGCATATTTGCTTTGGGATCAGGGGAAAAGAAACTCCAAACTATTCGTGATTTGAAACATGTCTGGTGCAAAACCAAGTGATCTACAAAGACATTTGTTGCGAATAGTCATTGAAATGCATTTAGATATTTCATACTTTCTTGATAGTTTGAAAATTTGAATAACCCTATTCTTTTCAGAAATTTAACTGTAAGTACCACACAAGTAAATATATTAAAATTGCGAATTATTATGCTGTTTTACCAATATTCAATTTCCATGTGATGGAAGCTGAAATAAAATAAGTGCAGTGCTACAGACTATATAAAACATAACAAGAATGTAGTTTACATATTATTATATTGCTCAATTCTTTCAATCCTTTCTCTTCATAGTTTTTTTTTATAAAATAGTATCAAAACTTCCTTTTTTTAAACATATTTCAAATCTACAAATATTTTAGAATTAAAATATACAAATATGCAAAAAATTTTTTTTTTAGAAAAACTTTATATCTTTATTATGTAGAATTACCTCATCAAGTGAGTTTTTTGGGGAATTGAAATTAGATAATCAATTCGAGGTAACATTTTGAAAATTAATCGTGGTTAAATAGTGATTTATATGCTAAAAAAAGAGAAAAACTCATATACTAATAAATGCATGCAAAATATTTATAAGGAATTAGTTAGAAATGAAATTTGTAATGAAATTTATAATGATTTACCTCGTAAAAAAGCTCGAGGCAACCTCCCAATCTCTGCCCAAANGGGATTTTTCCAGCTTTTAAGCATTATTTGAAAATTCCCGAACAAAAAAAAATTATTTTTTATATATAGGATCCTTTAATTTATCGAAAAACACATTAAATAAACAATATAATGCAAAATGAACAAACGAGAAAAAAGAAGAAAAATTTTTAAAAATCGACCACAGCCGGGGTTCGAACCCTTGCTCCCTCGCTCAAGGCGTAAGTAACTCGCACATGGTCTTAGCCGTTGGACCACGCTTATACGGGGATCGCGCTACAACATACCTTCAAGTACCCTGGTTGGCTTGAAATTTGATCCTTTCTCCCGCCATTTTATTTAAGGCCTGATATCGGGCCTTGCGTTAGTTAATTTTGAAAATGACTTCGAATTTTTAAAGCTTTTTAGAAGACGAATTTCCTCATTTCAAAGCTTTTCAGAAGACTATTTTAGATATACATACTTAGTAAACTACAGGGCCACATTGTGTACCCACTATGAAGTCTATAATTATTTCCTCTGGTAGGGTACACTATTACCCGGTGATATATTACGTAGTCCAATTTGAATATTTTAGGTTAATATTAGAGGGTTGTTGTTGTAGTTCATTTACGTCGCACTAGAGCTGCACAATGGGCTATTGGCGACGGTCTGGGAAGCATCCTTGAGGATGATTCGAAGACATACCATCACAATTTTGATCCTCTGCAAAGGGGATGGCTCCCCTGCTTTGGTAGCCCGACGACCTGCACGCGAAGTCGAGCACTTTACGGTAGAATAGTTTAACGAGGACCAATACCGCACACCCTCGGTCCCTACGCAGACTAATCCAAGAGGTCACCCTCCCGCACACTGACCGCAGCCAGTGATGCTTGACTTCGGTGATCTGGTGGAACCGTGTCTTAACGATCAGTCCACTGCGGGACTAATATTAGAGGGAGATATAGGACCATATTTTTATACAGAATATTGACTTTGAATTTCTTCATATAAACGCTATTCAACACACTATTATATTTATACATACATAGGAAATTAAAGAGCCACATTGTGTACTCCCTATGAGGTCTATAATTATTTCCTCTGGTAGGGTGCAGTATTACCCGGTAATATAATATGTAGTCCAATTTAAATATTATATGTCAATATTAAGGTCTGATATCGGGCCTTGCGTTAATATTGAAAAATGATTTCGAATTTCCTCTTTTTAAAGCTCTTTAGAACACGAATTTCCTCATTTTAAACCGATTGAACACACTATTTTAGATATACATACATAGTAAACTACAGGGCCACATTGAGAAAAACAAAAGTGTTACTCTGTAAATGTCTTATACGATCAGTGCTTACATACGCATGTGAGACCTGGACAATGACCCGTGGAGATGAAAATATGATAGCTAGATTTGAGAGAAAAATACTACGAAGCATTTTTGGTGGAATAAGTAAAAACGGTACCTGGTTTAGAAGATCAAACACGGAACTTTACAAAGCATATAAAGAACCTGATGTCATTAGATTGATCAAAATTCAAAGGGTTAAATGGGCAGGCCACATGGTGCGAATAGAGGAGCAGGACAACCAAAAAAGTTTTCAGTGTCAGGCCAACAGGTACAAAAAAAGGGGGACGATCAAACCTAAGATTTTTAGACTGCCTTGAAAAGGACCTACAAGTTTTAATGATAATAAAATGGAGAACTCAGGCTAAGGGAAGAATGTCTCGGCATAGGCTTGTTGAGAAGGCCAGGGCCCATCCTGTCAATGAGAAGAAGAAATATTTTACCATGTACTAATGTACCCTTCCAGGGGAAACAATTGTCAGCTTAATGGGGGGTCCACAATGCAGTTTTATAGGTTACTGTGTATATATATATATATATGTAAGAGTGTGTTAAATAGCGTTAAAATGAGGAAATTCGATTACAATACTCTTTATTATAACAAAAGCCTACATCTCACCTTAATATTGACATATAATATTTATATTGAACCAGGTAATATATTACCGTGTACTAATATGTACCCTACCTGGGGCAAAAATTAGAGGCCTTATAGGGGCCCCACAATGTGGTTCTGTAGGTTACTGTATATATATATATATATTGTATATATATATAGTCGTCCCCACTTAATCGCCCCTCGGATAATCGAATGACCCGCTTATACGAATAAAAATTAATGGAACCAAATCATTTTATATTAAACTAATGTCAAATTTCCCCGTTTAAACGATTATTTGCTGTTTTTTTGCCCCCGCTTAATTGCATAAAGAAGTGGTACTGAAATGAAAAAAAAAAAAAAAATTATTTTCGAGAAATTTTTCACCAGCTAAAATACAATTTTCCTTTTTAAGATAAAGATACAAAATGGTAATTTCAATAGGGACTTCTCATTCATTAGTAGGTGTTTGGGATGAAGTTGAAAAATTAATCAAGTCTTGCTGTCAGTTATACATTGGAGTAAACAAAGGGTGTTTTACCCCTGTTTGACTTACTTCACTCGCTCATCATTTAGTATGTGAAAAAGGGATAGAGTGATTTGTTTTTAGGTCAAGACTTGTGGTCCCCTCTTCATGCATTATTAAGTTTTAAAAACCTGATACACTAGTGTAAAGAATGTTTTCTCTTAAGTAGAATAATAGCTTAATCCTGTGAATAATTTTGAGTTGGTTGCAAGTTGAGAGCGAAAAGGAATGATTTAAATTAATTGAAAAAAAAAAACAAAAAAAACAATGAATCTTAGAATCAATAAATTTCAAAAAAATTCCCAACTGAAATAGCGCATTAATTAGGAATTTCTCAAGTTTCGAAGATTTAAAAAAAAAAAGTTCTGAATGTGTTTGAAAGGAATATGCACAAGTCATGATAATTCTTAGAGAAACTAAAAGGGAAAATGTAATTTTGATAAATTGACGAATTAAACGGGTACAAAAAACAGTCTTCAATTATAGAATTTTTCGGATGGGATCAAATAATATTTTAGTTCCAACATGATTCACTAACATTGATTTATTTTTATGTAACTTTAAATGATATTTTTTTATGATACTAAGGCAGAAAGTTTTAATTATAATTATTTATTGATCATAAAACTGAGTTTATTTGATCAAAACGCTATACTACGCATTAAATACCATTAAAAAGCAAAATTTCACAAACATTCAGAATTTAAGATTGAATATAGCACTCCCCTTCTAATTGAATTACCCTCTTAATAGCATAGATTTGGCTGGAACCGATGGTATTCCTTTAAGCGGGGTTGACTGTAGTCTAATTTTTTTAATTTTGATCCTATTACTTTAAATGATGTAAAACATTGATATTCTAGGGACCTTGGTTTTTGTTCATTCAAACTACAGAAATTATTTCTTGGCAATAAATATGTGTAATTGTAGAAGAAATTTTTTGTATTTAGTTGTATAATTTTTGTTTTCTTCTTTTAGGCAGCTTTTTATGCACCTGTTTTACTTCTTAAGGCCCGGAAGTTTTGTTTGCTCTTTTCGATGGGAAGTCTTTTCATTATTGGAAGGTGAACTATTTTTTAAGTATCTTACAGTTACATTGCTAAAAAATGTAGTAATATTAAGTTTTGCATTATTATTTTTTTTGCAATATTAGTACAGTCGAACCTGTTTATCTCGAATCTCACTGGAAAGGCGAAAAATTTGAGATAGAGAGGTTTCAAGTTATACAGGTACTATAAAGAAATCAAATTTAATTTAGAAATTTGATTAAAAGTGCTTTCTTTCTAGTAGAAAAATATGGAAATTTCTTTAAATTAATTATACCACATACATCTATTTACATAACAGTTTTTTAACATACATTTAGCACTGAAAATAATGAATAATATTTTTGACTGATGACCTTATTTGTTTCAATTATTCTTTTGAGGTTAGAAAGATCGCAAATTCCTCATAGATCGTTTTCTGTAGTTCACTTTAAAACTCTTAATTATCCTTTGCTCCATTGGTTGCAATTTTGAGGTCAAAATGAATTTCTATTCTTAGCTTTCTATTTTCTATTCTATATTAGAAAATTTAACCCCTGATGGTCACTACTTATTAACCCCTCACTTACTGCCAGAATCATTGTATTCCTTTTTAGTTAAGGAAGTGCAGGGATAGTGATTGAAATTCCAAGAAACCCCCCAACCTGTTCATCCTTACTTCCTGTGGATTCACGAAATTCATCTCTGTCTACGAGCTCTGCTGATACGGAAAGTTTTGACATTTGCGCTCGATTATTAGAAATTCGAGAAATGGAGGTTTTGAAGAAAAAACTTGACATAAACATGGAAAATACATTTATTTTAGACAGTAAATGTAGGGAAATTTTAAAAATTTCGAGATATAGAGGTTTTCGAGATAAAGAGGTTCGAGATAAACAGGTTCAACTGTATTATATCTGTGTTCTGTGCTATTTATAATAAATATTTAGTAATAATATATGAAATAACGATAAATAATTATTTTGCGTTTCCTTCTGAATTTAAAAAATAATTAAAACATTTTGAACCCATAATTAGTTTGAAAAAGTTTTTTTTTTAATTAGATTTTGCTATGGTATATCTTAAGTTAATTTAGATTGAAAGAAATATTAGAAGTTATGAAAATGCATGATTTTTTTTTTTAATAAAAAGAATGTACTGTATATTCAGACAGAGTTGACATTGTATTTATTGTGTAATGATAATTTGTTTTTACCATGATTTTTATTCCATTGAGTAAAGCCTCCTTTTCCAGTGATATTTACCATTTTTAATAACTATTCAATAATAATCAGGGATCTGTCCAGGCCGACTTTACTACCGTTTAGCGGTACCTTCACAAATTCAATTTTAGGTAAAACCGTAGTTTCACAAATTCAACTTTAGGAAAAACGGTTTTCACAAAATACTTTTTCTTAAAATTTTATTTTTGTATCCCTTAAGAAACGATAAATCCATATTTTTACCATGTTTTTGTGTTGACTTTTTAATATAATTTTTAATTTTTCACAAATTATGTCAAAATTTTCACAAACTAGGTACCTTTCAGAAAAACCTAGACAGACCCCTGATAATTTAATAACTATTTCTGTGAACACTGCCTTTTTTAGTGAGAATTTAAGGCAGTATTGTAAATATATACTTAAATATTGTTGTATCTGATCATTTAAACAGCTCATTTTCATCATATATATATTTTATAATGTTTATCATGAATTGATGATATAATGCTTATTATGTATTTATCAGTTTAAAATAATCAGCCACTGTGAATGAATGGAGGTTAATAGTATTGGCTAGTTTTTTTCTAATTTTTTTTTTTTTTTTACCATATTTTAGCAAGAACTAGTTTTTCTTGGTTAAGACACAACCCTGTATGCAGGATAGACCTGTCTAAGAAGTATCTTTTATATATAAACATGCATTTTCTAATTGAAATATTTCTAAAAAATTTAATAAAGTTGTACATAAGTATATAATAGATGATAATAAGCTAGATCAGGGGTTTCTAACTTACATAAGGCTGGGGGCCACAATTAAAAACACAAATTAAATGGTGGGCCGCAACTTTATCAAAATTTTATGTAGGACTCTTTTATATTTGAAGTAACATTAAATATTACTGTCAGATTTTTACCAAGTTGTACAAAACAAAAGTATTGAATAGTAAATTAAAAATAAGTAGATTTTTAAAAATATTTAACTGTTATTAATAATATTTTTAAAAATATTCAATAAATGATAAAAATTTGGGCTACAACAACTTTAATGTGCACCTATGAATTAAACAATTAAGGTGCAACAGATATCTAATTGTTAGGATATAGAACTTTAAAAAGGTTGGTATTAAAACTTATATAGCAGCACACAAAATATTCAATGAGAAAATTGAGGTTTTCTGCTGCAACCACCAGAGAACTGATTTTTACATTTTAAATTTAAAGTTTACAAATATGTGTGTAAATATTTTCTTCTAAATGAGTGGTTTCAAAAAGATAAATGGGAGAATTTCTGATAAGCACATGCCAAATTATATTCACAAAATACAAAAAAAAATGAAATGAAAAAGAACAGCATACACGATTATTTTTGTATTTGAATAAATATTTTCTTGGGTGTAGAACCTGAGAAATAAATTTTTTTGCACCGTTGGTATGTTAAATTTCACAGAAATGAAGAAATTAGGTTTTATTAACGAGAAAAGTATTTTAAACCCATATAGATTTTTTACAAAAATTTTCCGCAAAAAAGTGACAACTATTATATTTTAGTTCGTGGGCCACAAAAAAGGCCTCACAGGCCGGATGCGGCCCCCGGGCCGCCAGTTGAAAACTCCTGAGCTAGATAATAGATATTTATATAATAGTTAATCAATGGATGCCCTTGAATAGACTCAGTTTAATTATAAATACTGGGTATTTAAACAAAAGAAACAAATAGTAAAGATAACTATACATCTTTTATGCATTCCTATCCTTTGTATTATTGTTCATAAATTTTTTTCACCTTTTTACTGATCAATGATAGCTTAGTTTAGATATCACCTGAGTTTAGTTTTCTTAATTTTGCTTACTTAATAAATAATTCTTTGCTCAGGGAAAATATTTTTGCTCAAATTTATCTTAACACTTGTATATTTTTTAGCAATTTTAAAAATTAATAATATACTTGGAGGCAAAAAGTAGCAATTTTGTTAAATAATTGTCATGCCCAATGTGTAGATAAAATTATGTTATGTACAAAACTTTCATATTTTGTATGTATCATTTTATATAATTTTATCACATACAAGCATTTTTTAATTATAAGTGAAAATCAGAACATGTTTAAGGAATGCTTGAAAGCTGTTGAATAATGAAGATTAAATTTTTAAGCTTCTCTGTGCTGTGGGGACCATGTAATCACCTGAAGCATTTGTGTTCTCCTGAGAGATTACCCTTTACTGCTGTTTACTTCATAACCATGTTTACGACTTTATATTCAGCTCTGTGGGTGAGTAGTATTTTTTCAGCGTATTTATTTTTTTTATACATAACTAATTTCTGTTTGGACTACAACTTGCTTATTTATCTAGAATTTTGATTAATTATTTTTATTGTGTGCTGATAATATACGACCAATGAATTTAAATTCGGGAGTCTAGTTAATTAATATATAAAAATTATGCAAACATCCCACATATTTGCTTCAAGCAACAATCCAATGATTGCATAGGAATCATTTTTGTTTCATGAAGATGAATAGATTGTTGCTTTGAAATAAATAAAAATATTTGATTAAAGAACATTTGACCAACATTTTTCATCATATTAATCCTTTGCTTGTGATATTTGTTATGATAACACCTATTATTCTGGTCCATCAGTTAAACCAGCACTATGTAAAGGGTTAATACAGAATTAGTTCCAGATTTTATTACAATGAAATTTTAGCCTAATTAGTACCTTGGTCAACCAGTCTGTTTTAGAAATTCTTGTTTAATTTATGGTTATTACAAAAACTTGTTTAATTGTATGCAAAAAATTTATTTCTAGTATTTCTTTATAATTTTAAATATTTATTTTGTATTAATTTTTTTAATCATAATTGTTGATTAAACTTAATTTTGCATAAAATATATTGTAATTAATGGGAGAATATATCTTATTTACCATTTGATAATTGCAAAAAAGTAACTTAAAACATATATAGTATGTTAACCAAAAAAATGTTTTGTAATAAGGTAATATCATATGACATACCTGTCTACTTTTCTGGATTTTCTGGAAAATTTTAGTTTTATATTTAATACGGTAAAAAAATGTGTAGTTTCACACTTTTTTCTTATTTTAATAAATGTGATATAAAATAATTTTGACTACCATTACATTTAAATATTTAAAACATATATAGTAGATGTTTTAGCTCTTTGAAAATGCGTTTGGGTGGTGACTAGATTTTAATAAAACACCACCTTATAATATTGATTGAAATGGCATTTCTTTACAACTAGAAAATAATTTTTTAAAAGTAATAATTTGGCTGGTATGATAGGATTTCTTTAATGAAGTTAATTATATTTTGTTTACAGCCATTTTAATTAATAATCAATATCAAAAATATAGTATAGTGAGATCCCACCATTACAGCAAACCTTCAATAATAATGATTAATACATTAATTCCTCTTTGCTTTTCCATAGACGCAATATTATGTCAATGATGACTCTGATTAATTCATTTTTATATGGTGATCAAAATTTAGCAAATGTTTTAGAGAAGTTAGTTAAAAGTCTATTTTATTTGATATCATTGCTTATTGGATGTAAAAAATTTTGAATTCCTTTTGATTAAAGGAAAAATGGCATAACCCCCTAAATTCTTATTCTAAGTTGTCATGATCTTTACTGAAATCAGCATGTGTGCATTCCTTGGGTTAAAAAAGAATGCATTCACGATCTTTGTTAATTATGTTTCAACGGGTGCAATAAATTTATTATTCATACTTTTCTTGTTAGGAATTTTTTTTCACTCTTTTTGTGAAATGTTAGATGGTTTTTATTAGTTAAAACATGTGGTTTTTGCAGTTGTATAGATGTGTATTATTTATCTAAAGTGGGTTTTCTAAACAAGTTGCAGACGAGGTTGTTATTAAATATGTTTACCTTTTTAGTGCAGTTTTGCCAGTCTAGCAACACTTATTCAAAAAATGTTACAAACCGCTAGTATTGTATATTTATTTCCAAACGATCATAATTTTACGCTACCATTATTCTTTAATCAACAAAGAGATAAAGTATGCCTCTTCAATAAAATACCTGATAACAAACCTGAGTAGCATTTGTAAAAGAAATTTGCACAATCTTTAGCTATCATTATTCTTTAAGCAGCAAAAACATTAGGTATGCCTCGTCAATAGCATACCTGATTACTTCAGTCACCTGAACTAATCTGATAACATACCTGACTAACATATGCAACAGAAATTTGCTATTCCGCAAAGAGTTAACTTATATGATGGATAATAAATAATGCTAAGAATGGACAATAACTAAATATTACTTATAAATAACATTTGGTATGGGGTGAATAGATAATTTACAGGTACAAACTGTTATAACTGATATGAAATTAATGCTGATCGCAGCAAATGTTATTTTTATCTTCTTTTTTAATTAATAGTCAAATCATGTAATTTTTCTATCTAATGAGAATTCACTAGTAACTGTCAAAAATACTAAAACAATAGAATTGGATAGTTTTCCTTTTATGATATGAAGAGAAATAATATATATTTGTTAGATGTTTTCTGACAAATTATCTGTACATAGCAAGAAACTGTAACACGATGAGGAATTTTTAAGAGATAACCATTATTTCTATAAATTGCGTACTCAATACAAATAATTTATTTCTTTTGCTTGTCAGCTCATTTTTTCCCCCAACTAATATCAAGATATAGCACACATGAGTGAGACAAGAATTATTTTTAATCTTGTTTCATTCAAAAATTGAGTTTATTTCAAAGCTTTCACTATGACATTAAATTTAAAAGCAGTATGTTCATATTTATAAATATTTTTGACTTTTTTACTTCTATCATTAATTATTAAGCTGAAATTATGTGCTTTAGATTGCATAAAATTGATAGTTTAAATTTATTTTAAGTTTTTTCATGTTATTTTCTTTTCTAAACATAGCTCAAGAATACAGTTCTTACTTCAATTTGTGCAATTTGTCAAGTTATTGCTTTGATGTGGTGAGTGATAAATTTTATTTCTTATAAAAGGCAAAGTTTTGCTGAAAACATCATTCAGCTTGTTTTCATGGAAATTGTGTTAGAAATTGTATTAATTTATTTTATTTATTTATTTTTTTCTTGTTTTACTTTGTTCAAGGTTTAAGAAATATCTTTCCTTTTTGAGATTATGGAAACATATCTTTTTATGTACTTTAATTTCATAATTCACTGAAAAATTTTTTAACAAAAAGGTCAATTATTGTTTAGCATTTATGGGCCAAATGTACCTTGAAGATAATCATTTGACAATTTAGTAAAGCAGCTCTCATTGTATGAAAAAAAAAATTATAGCAATGAAAAAGTTTTTGAGTAAAAATATAATTGAGCTGATAATGTTTTCTATAGCATTTGTTGCAGAGAAATCAAAAGCTTTAGTAACATCATTAATATTTTGCTGAAGCTTATTTTTTCTATTGTTATTTTATTATGTTAAATGTTTATGTATGTTGGAAGGAAGGTAGAAAAGTTTGAAAAAACTCTTAAAATTATAAATGTGTACATTTGAATTTTCTATCTTCCTGCACTGAGTATGACCAAGAGAAGGGGAAAAATTGAACCAGAGAATTAATTCTCAGTGTTTTGTTTTTATTTCTTCAAATTAATTGCAGATTTCGTCAGCAAATGGCTATCTAACTGATCAAAACTTATAAAACAATATCTTAAGCTGCATTTTAGACTATTCTAATTAAAATAACTGTTAATTTTGTCCTTCGACTGTGACACATTGTTGGTGCAAGCAGTAGTAGTTTTAAAAACGTTTCATAGATATTTTTAGTTAGCAATACTGTCTGACATACTTAGTAAGTTATTTCGAAACTTTGTTAAAGTAAAAATTTGAAATTGAAAATAGTTCACTGTCAGAATAATTGTATCGTGCTTTGACTTTATATTAAATGGTTTGACCATTTTTAATGAATAAGGTTTGACCATCCATCAGTTTCTTAAATAACTCAAGCTGAAATAACTGGTTTATACACATCATATTTTACTCTTGTGCAGAATTTTAATGCAGGGAAAACTTAGTTGAATGGACATCTTTGAGAAGAGAATTAAGTTTGTTAAAAGGAGGTGTCTGTTTAGGAGAAAGAAAATACAATAAGAAGAATTGCTTAAGAAAAATAAATTGGGTCACACTCTTGTACTAAATTTGCTTCAAATGAATAGATACAAAATGTTTTTTTTTATTTGGGTTTGTACGCTTAGCATTTTATCAAAATATAAGTGGACTTCAGTTGCAAAAAAATATAAATATTTCTTACAAATGACAAAGTAATTGTTCTAACACTAGTTTAAATATTATTGAATAATATTTTCTAAGTAAATAAATGCACATGTTAAAACCGAGCCAAATGTTTTTACTAAAATTGATAACTAAATTTTTTTATGTTAATTTTTATTTTAAAGTTAAAAAGAAAAAAAAAATCAAAATTAAGTGAATAAATTTTACCATCAATAAATTTAAATTTAATTTTAAGTAGAAAGAGTGTTTTTCACTCATTAGTTCAATAAATTCAGTTTCAATCAGTCTGGTTAAAGCTCTCTTACCAACAAGCTAATCATGGGACTCTTTTTTTTTATGAGCATAAATGTTAGTTTCTGAAATAAAATTATGAAAGCAAATTGGCCCCACAATGGCTCAGTGGTTAAGGCACTGTTGTACTAAGGTAGCCACAATGGCTCAGTGGTTAAGGCACTAAACTGTCTTTCTGAAGAAGTGGGGTTCAATTTCCAGTGGCAGATTGAAGCCCACCCAGATTCAGATCAATGGGTACTTGTTTGGGAAGTAAAGGCGGCCTGTGGCACATTGCTGGATACATTACCACAATCATGAAATTGTGGAGCTGATCCATTGCCCCACTGCTCTACAATGCTCTGTTGCAATAATGCTTTAAGATAGATCTCTTTACTTGTAAATTACTTTTATAGCTATTGGATGATTAAAAACACTGATAGTTAAAGCATTTTTCATATAATAAACCATTATTTTATTCAAATATTTTTAGAATATTTGATAAAATAATGGTTTAGAATATTTGAATAAAATAATGGCTACATTAGTAAATGCTATTGAAAATTGAAATGAATCAAATGAAAATTTGTTTTAACTGTGACGTCCATTATTGGCAGATGTCTCCAATTCAGAGTTTAACGCAACAAGCGTTTTTTAATAAAACAGAGCTCAAAGCAGATTTTATTTAAAAAATTTCTCGATCTGTAGTTTGATCCAGTGCAGCACGATCTACGATGTTTTTTATTTTCTGATTTAAAAAAAAAAATTGCATTCTCATATGAGAAAGAAATTGTGTATTAGTTTGAAATAAATTCATGGAACTTATGTCTTATTTTCTGTTATGACACTACAAGGGCAAAGTTTTACCTTGTTTATTCTACATCCAATGATGACAATAATCCAAATTTTTATTAGAGAAATTTGTAAAATATGCTTAAGAAAACTAAAAATAAAAACTTCCTTTTATTTTTATAGGCATACAATACATTTTCTTGGAACTATATCTTGTAAAAAATTTGTTCAACAGAAAATTATAGAATTTTTTTATTGTTTTCCATAAATGTTGTAATGCCCACCCAGAAAATTTTTAGAATCCTGTACATGATTAGTAGACAGTAACACACTGAGTAATAAACACTTTACTTGTTAATTTTTTTTACTCTGTTGTTTTTTTCGTGTAAATTATAAAATACTAGGAGGCTCCGCCCCCTTCTCGCTAACGCTCCCCAACCCCCGAGAATTGCTACGCAATACTATGTGGTTCACGCCGTGAACCATGGCTCGCTGCGCTCGCTCGCCGATGAACACAATGTTCTGGCACAAAGACATAGTATTTTATCATCAAAGACATAGTATTGTACTTATGTAGAAGAATTCTACCAATGTTCTTATTGGCTTTTAAAAAAGTATATTAGCTATTTAGATTGTACGTGGTGAAAAAATCAAAAATGAGAAACATATTAGCAAAATAACTTATCAAATATTGCAGTTACTCACCTAAATTCGACTAAATGTGTATAATAAATTAGTTAATGCTAGAAATACTGAAAGTTTTAGAAAAAAATTTGATTATTTAAAAATCTAAACTTTAAACCCTAGCTTTTCCTTGTGATATAATAACCCTCAAAAAGTCTTTCATTTTCAAGAACACAAAAATTTGTTTTATCGCCAAATGAAATATTTTTTGGTGATCAGCATTATTGAAATCAATTTCTATATTAATTAACATTTGTGATAAAGTACATAACATTTTAGAACAAAATAAGGATGTTTTACATACAATAAATTAAAATGCATGGCTGTTAGCATTACCCGAGAAATACCACGTGGAGGTCGCCATGCTGCATTTCTAATCGGGGAGTTTTGATTTTGGCAGTTCCCCTTGCCTACTGCCAATAGAAGTTTCAATTAAATTTTTTCCAAAAAACATTTTTTTCTGCAAAGCTCTAAGAAATTAACACTAAGCATTTAGAATTTCTTTGAAAACACAATTATAGATTTGGCATCTTGGAGCAATTACTGAAAGGCTGTCAAATGACTTAACTCTTGACAGGCCAACATAAAGTTGTCCATGACTAAAAACTTGTTTAGTCAATACTAAACTGATTTTCTCAAAAGTCTGACCTTGTGACTTATTTATAGTCATGGAGAAGGCCAGCCTAATTAATTCCTAATTGAGTTTAAATTAAATATTATCATGTTTTTAGGGCATGAATCTGAATTGAACAACCTGATAATGCTCACTCTGGTTATTGTTTCCGTTTTTAAAAGCGCTATATGTTGAGCCACCTCATGTGACATTTGCCATGTGACATTTTTAGCAGCAATCATTGGTCGATTTTCTAACGTTGCCATTCGGGGAGTTGTAATGAGGCTTTTTTTTGGTGCCGTGTAAGAGAAATATATATATAGATTAAACGTTTGTTGTTTATATTTTTATAACTTAGCAATCTTAAAATTTATGTTTTGTATTTTGCATTCCTTTTGAAATTTCCATTTTGGACCAAAAATTATCATTAAATTTAACTTATATTATTTAATTTTGAAAGTTAAATGAAATCAAGTTGTGTTTAATGAATGTCAAATATCTGAAATTTTAAAACCAATCAGGAATTTTAAATAAATTCAAGTTTTGCAACTGAGTTTTTTCCAGTTTATGAACAAATAATCACCCATGATTGACAAATAATCACCCATGTTGATGTGAATCCATCTTAATTGGTTTTTCTTTTTATTAGTTTAATTTATTTCATTTAAAAGTTTAAATGATGTGTATGGATAATGGCCTATTACGGTTGGGTATAGAATAAAAAGAAAATGAAAAGTTGCTAAAAAATGATAACAAATTTTAGAAAATAAAATTAATGGCCGGGTGAAAAAAATATAGTGGTACATTTACGAAGTTTGGCTACCTTCATAACCCAAAAGAAATCTTAACTTTTAAAGTTCCAGAAGATAACAAATATATTCTACAAAAACATACCTTCCTTTCCATAGAAGATATCCAGTCTTGGATCAGAGATGAGTTTACAAAGAAAATCTCCAACAATCTGTGGTTACCCTCTAGGAAATCCAGATGAATAAGTCACTAATAAACCAGTTATTTCAAACTAAAAAACTCTTTATTTTGAGGATCCATATTTAACGGCAAAAATAGTGTCCAGCACACAGTCTCTGGTGGAGAAGTGGGTGAAGGGTAATAAATTCAGGAACACGGAAATTTTGGATGAAACTGACTTAGACGAGATCAAATTCATATCGCATGTTGACGATCATTCTCCTCCATCTTAGGGATCAATCTTATCCATTAATCCATAATTGGGAACCGGAAGCCAAGGTGTTAGCAGCAATACCGACAGTTGAAGCACACTCCCGGATTTGGGATTCTTGATAAAAAAAGCATCCATCGCAAACAGTTTTCTCAAAATTGAAGATAACGTTTATATTTTTATGAAAAAGATTTTTATGATCTGCTATCAAAATTCGGAATTTTTATTGGAAGGCATATTGAAGCTACTATATTAGCAAAAAGGCAGTCAGTGGAATTTTTATATGGCCGAAGAAAAGGTTCATCTCATAAATGAGAAACTACACAAAAAAATGGCGAAGGAGACGCCATCCTCACCTCCTAACGAGGACAGGATATAAAAAAATAAAACACGCAACAGCGCGACGTGAAGTATGATACTCTCGAATTTCGAATGCAATCGTCATCTCTCGCGCGCTCTTTTTATAAGAGACAAAAACTTACTGGTTGAAGTTGTAGTACATGTTGTGCAAGTTAAAGTTAAATTATCTAAAAATTACGAGTTGAGACGAAAAATTGATTATACGTTAACAGTTACGGTTGAGAAACACAACATACACGCGGAGATGAAAATGCCGACAACCAGTGCGAATTCTCAGAAAAACGAAAAGGGTGGAATGTTCTAGAAAGAAAGGGGCTCTTCAAGGAGCTGGTAAGGAATTTTAGGGGGAGAATGTCCAAATTGCACCTAAAGCTTAAGGGGCTAAAGAAAGATGAAGAAATAAAAAATGTATTACAAAATTATAAATTAAGTCGAAAGAATTAGTATTTTGATTAAAAAAACAGGATATTTAGAAAATTAGGCTGTGACCTAATGTCACAGATAATTCCTCAAAAATTAAGAGATTATTTATTTTACAGAAGAAAGTAAACATATTCATGTTATGAAATACAAATATTATTATTTTTTTTTTTATTTTTCATGATAGGTACGTCACCNTCATGACACATTATCTGTTTTTGAAATTGAAGGAATAAATGTAACATCTAGAATATTAAAGTCGATAACATCAGGTTATATGTACAGAAGAAAGTAAACATATTTATGTTATGAAATACAAATATTATTATAATTATTATTTTTTTCATGATAGGTACGTCACCAGCTACATTCCTGGAGGGCAAACTGGATTGAAGTTCATAACACGAATGTGTACTTCAATAGTTACTCGATCATCAAGCCGTATATTGCCTGTATAAAATCTCTTTTAATCGTTGCTTTATTTTGTATGCCAAAGAAATAATCTACATCTTCAATATTTATTAAAATCTGAGTGGTCATTAGACGCTTTATGGCAAAAATACATTTATTTATTTTTGTACATATTTTTTTAGTTTTATTGGATTTTTATATTATCTTAACTTATTGTTTTTATATTCTCTGTATACTTTTTGGAAATCAAGAAAAATATTAGTTACTTCCATCTGGTCATGAAAAGTCACAAATATCTTTTCTGGATTTTTTTTTTAAGACTATTATATAGCAGTATTTTGTTAGGATCTACTGCAGTTTTCCTGTAGTTTATAAGGATTTTAGCTTTTGCTATAGAACTAAGGAAGAAAAAAAAAAGACATTTTTTAAAAATGAATGTTAAAAAATTGTTTTATTTTTATTTATGATTTCTATACAATTCACAATCATTCATATGTTTTATGGTGATGCTCAGCTTCGACTATTTATAGACTCTGTGTTTTGGGGCATCCCTTCCTGACCTATTCTTCTTCAACAAGTAATTTATTTCTTTTTTTTTCTTCTTTTATTAAATGGAGCATGACTTATCTATTGCAGCTACTAATCGTGAAAATTTATTTAATGAAATCCAAGATTTTTGTCTCAATAATTGCATATGTAATGTTATAATGTAACAAAATGATTATGAATTATCACTCTCTTATTAGATAGTTAATAATACACATGCTCAAACATTGTTTATACGTTGTTAACATTGTTAAATTTTATTCCTTCTGATGCAATGGATGTTAAAGCCTTAATATGTGGCTGTGAGAAACTATAGATAAGTTCCTTAGTGTCTAGGGAAAAGGTAAAAGTTGGTATTGCTGATATTGCATTTATTAAAATATATTTATTCGTATATATATATATTTTAAAAATCACTCATTTTTTCATTAATTATTTGGTATTGTTATATTTCATTATGTAATGAAAAATAAATTTGTCTTGAACTCAACTAAATAAATATCTAAACAAATGAAGTAAATTTTCACTACTAATAAAATTCTTATCTTATAAAATTCTAATATTGGATTACCTTTGTGTTTGAAAAATATTTTATGTATTGAATCTTGGTAAGTTATAATGAAACTATATATCGGGTTATAGTTATAACAATATAGTTATAAATATTTGAAATCACCAATAAATAATTAATGAATATATAGGTTTTTGTTATATGGTATTATAATTCCTTAGTTTCATTTTCTACAACATTTCTGAAGGTAAATTCTGTTGATGGAATTGTTTTTACTGAATCCTCATATTATTATTATTATTATTATTTTTTAATAAAACTAGTCATTAGGTAGAACAAGTGTGACACTTTTGAATTTTTTTTTTGTGTTTTATGTTTTAGAATTTGTTATTTAATTACACAGTGACCATGTTTTTTTTCCTTCTGTATTTTAGTAATTTATTTTTTGTAAATTGAGAACCTTGCAACTAAATTTTTGTTCTATCGTTTGTGAAATATGGATTACAATATATTATGAACCTCATTTCATTAATTCTTTAGGGGCTAGGTAAACATATTGTTTTATGAAAATGCAATGTGTTGTTAAAAAAGATGTTTTATTGCATATATGTTGTTAAAGTGATCTTGGAAAATCATGACACATTATCTGTTTTTGAAATTGAAGGAATAAATGTAACATCTAGAATATTAAAATCGATAACATCAGGTTATATGCAATTTTATCAGGTCACAAAATATTGTTGTTGGAAAAATTTTTATTTTGTTTAGTTAATGTTGGGTTAGTTTACTGCATTTTATTAAATATATTAACACAAATGATTTTCGAAAAAAGAACACAATTCTTTTAGAAATTTTTTTTTCTATTACAAATTTTGTGACAGCCATTTCTAGTTTATAACAAAAAATACATGTTATTATTTGCCATGACATAAATAGAAGTACCTAATATGTTATATATTGTTTTGTTTCCATGTTCAGTTATTTTATTGTCTGTATTAAGTTTTTAATTTATAAAATACTAAAAAAAATTTTTAATATCTTTGCTGATATGAAAACAAAAATTATTTATTTTTTTTGTTCATTTTTTTAAAGAATTAGATGAAAATTAAAATTGGAATTTTTTTTAATGGTTAAAAATAGTAGTTAAATTAACTTACAATCTTAGTTTCATTTAGCTTTCTTTAAAAATGTATTTGCAATATAATCGATTTAGTGGTATCATCAATTCTTCTCTGTTGAAAAGTTGTATTTGTTAAATTCTTTCAATTAAATCCCATTTCATTATAATGTTTGTGGAATTTATTCATTATAATTTTTTCTTTATATTTTTTTATAATTTGATTATAAATCCTTTCAACTTGTGTTTTTGATTAAATGATTTTTTTTAATGTTTTAAATGTATGATTTTGCTGAGATCTTTATTTTTTTATTGATTTATGTGTATGCTTATCCTAGAAGAAGTATTGAAATATTAAAATTTTGTTTCATTAATTTTTGATCAATTTTTTTTTTTTTTTTTTTTTTTTTTTTTTGTAATTTGGTTCAAATATGACTGTTTTTTTTTTACATGATTTTATCTCTGTTTACAGAAAGTTAAGATTTATGGGTTTGTTGATCAAAAGACTAATTATTACTTAGTTTATTTCTGATGATTTTGTCTATAGAGCATTGTAACACATTTAAGAAGTCTGCAGTGTTTTATATTATTTTTATAACTGCTTGACAATTATTATATTAATAATGTGTACTGCAAAAAAAGTCACTCGTCTGTTAAGAACACTTTTAAATGTTAAATTTTGCTTGACGATAATGTGTGACACAAAGTTTTTCTCTTTGTAATTTTTTGATCAAATTTAAATGTGCACATTCGGTAAATAAAATGAGTGAATGTTAGTTTTGTTTATTTTTTAGCATTTTATATACAAATAATAAGGAATGTTAGGCACACATTTTATTTATATTTGTTTTTATTTGTTTCTTAAACTGTCAAATTGATTTGAATGTTATTTACATCAAAACTTCAGTTTTATGAAAATGTAGTTAATGAAGAAATTCAATAATCTAGACAATCTTTAATTCTCTTTCCAAATTTGTTAATGTAAAATATTTGAAGAGCTTTGGGAGTAGCTTCTGAGTGATATTTTTAAGATAATTAAGCCTTCTTGGAGAATGGTATCTTATTTTATTCTTTTTCTCAGTGGATACAGGTACTAAGTGACAGTCTGATTATTTTGAATGTGGAAGAAAGTTTTGAATGTATTTGCTTTAAACAGTGAAGGAATGACCTTAGAACAGCAATGTTCAAAAGATATTCTGCTGAAGGGTTCCGTGTAAGGGACACAGAAATTCTATGAGTTAGGAGTTTATTGTGATTTGCCAAAAATAAATAATATATATGTATATAAACACAGCAGGAACATCATTCTTGTTTAGCTGCAGGACTGGTTGAGCTGAAAAATCACACACCATTGTAGAAAATCTAATTGAACATCACAGAAATAATTGGATGTGTGTGTGGGAAAGTTGTTTCTGTATTGTTAAAGAACTAATTTTTAGAATTCGTGAATCATGCTGAAATACATTGCATGACGATAGCTTGTGATATTGGCACTTTTGTTCAATATATTTTATTAAATCAAGTCGGGGGGTTCCACCAAAAGGAAGTTTGATCATATAGGGTTCGATAGTCAAAATGAATTGGTCCCCACTATCTTAGAAATCCTGTCTTTCAACTTCAATGAGACACGCTTAAAATGGCTTCAAATAATATTTTGAACTAGCACTTAGCAGCTAACTAGTACGTTTTGTGTAGAACATACTTTCCAGTAGTCGGGATATAAAGCAGAAGTTATAAACAAGGAAACAAGATGTTTAAATTACACCTGCATACTTAAAAGACAGCATAATTATCTGATTCCTTATATACACTGGTGGACAAAATTAAGAGATGAAAGACATTTTCCCAAATATCTCAAAAAATACTGAATATAAATAAATGAAATTTGGTTTGGATATAGCTTATTCCATGATAATAAAGTATGCAAAACAAAAATGAAAGTGTCCTTCATTGGAAAGACCTATTGCCAATAAATCCAATGTAGTCTGAACTTAGGATAAAAGATGACAATAAAAGTGAGTCTTGTACCTCTAGTATGTGTTGCCTCTAGTATGGTGTATGGTCACCCCTGACAGACAGACAGCTTGCACAACGAGTATGCATGCTGTTAATAAGGGAGTTAAGGAGGTCTTGTGGAAGACCCTCCCATTCTTCCACCAGAACAATTTTTAACTCCAGAATGGTTCTGGGGGGGAGGTTGGTGCATCGCAATAGCTCTCCCAAGAGCATCCTAAGCATGTTCAATATGATTCAGGTCAGAGGATTTGGCTAGCCAATCCATTCGTTGAATATCCTCGCTTCCCAGATACTCATCAACCACGAGAGCCCTATGTGGTCGCGCATTGTCGTCCATAAAAATGAACTCTGGGCCAACAGCGCCCCTGAAAAGACGCACATAGGGCTCTAGGACCTCCTGCCTGTACCTCTGGGCATTCACGGAACCATTGTCAAACACATGGAGCGGTGTGCGGGTATCTTGCATGATCCCTGCCCAAACCATGAGTTCTCCACCAGCATAATGGTCCCTTTCGATAATGTTGCTGTGATGGTATCGTGTTCCAGTTTCCCTCCATATCAATAACTGTCCAGAATCAGGTTGTAGACTGAATCTGGACTCATCGGTGAAGAGAACATTAACCCATTGAAGCTGTGTCCAGTTTTGATGTTATCTTAATTTTGTCTCCCAGTATATATCTTTCAATTATTCGTATAACACAATATGGTATCAATGATATTTGATTCAAAACTCATTCATGAACCGCATATAAATTACACCAGAAAAAATAATTTCTCATTCATTAAACATTTTTATAAGTTCTCACCAACTGTTCTAAAAGAGGTGGTTTTTACCCAATGATTAAAATGATACCTTTATACACTCCGTACTCAACTGTGACGTTCCTGTATTATATGCAGCTGCTCGTCACAATCTATCATCAAGGAAGCACTTAAAACTTCACCATTTGAGTGTCTGTCTGTATGTATGTTCCGAACCATCTCTTATTTTTCGTCCCTCTAAATTTTCTTTGGATTATTACTTTAAAAAGTAAATCAAATCCTCAATGTGTAATCAACCCACAATTAATCACACATTTCTCTTCGCCCCCACTTTACATCTCTTCGTTCATTCTAAATTATTTTGAATTTTGCAGCTTTTACTAATACAGAGACTATCTCACCTTGGGTTGATATTTTAATGAGTGTGTTAGATGTTTTTAATAAGTTTAACGTTATCTGATATTAACTCTAGTATTTTATATTATGATCATCGAAACATATTGATTTAATACCATTTTTACCGATGGTTCAAAATTTTACTATATCAGAACAATTGCATCAGGATCCATCAGTTTTTATCGCAGAATGCTTTGCAATTTTGCTATCTCTTAAATTTATTTGCAATTAAAATTATTGAATAATTTATACTAACGCTCAAAATTTTACTTCAAGTGTTACTCACATCAAACGAAACCCCGTGATGTGTAAAATTTAAACAATTATATTGCATATATCAGTATCAGCATCTAGATCAGCTTGATACTTTCACATGTTGGCATACAGAGCTGGGGTGGCTCAGGGAATTAAAAAACTCTCCTACCAATACGGTGACTGGGTTCGAATCCCAATGTTGTCTTGTCGATACAAATTCTGCTCCCGGTTCGCACTGACCACAGGGCTGATATTAAGTATCTTCAGTGGTAGACAGATCATGGGTTAGAATTTCCTGGCCATCAGGTTAGCCACTCCATGTAACGCATATGCGGGTTAATTACATCAAAAAGTCCTCCATGAAGGCTAGTTTATCCCAATGCTTGATTCAGAAAATATTTTGTCTTCTGGATTGGGCTCAAAAGTCACGAGGCTGCAGAGTTGAACATTGATATTCATAAACTCAGAATTGGATAGCCTGGTTATAAAATGAAATAAAATTTTGTGGCATAAGCGGAAATGATCGTGCTCATAATTCAACTAAAACGGAACGGCTCAAAATGCAAGCAAAGTATAATTTCATAACAGTACTGGATTAATACGAATATGTATATCTTCAGTACAATAGGCTTGGATTAATAATGAAATATCTCCAAATCTTGACAACTGTAACGCAAATATTCGTTGAACGCAAAATCCATGTTATAATCAATAGACATGCTTCTCGGCGGTTCATTTACTCAAATGTATTTATTTACTTGAAGCCGAACCTGCACTTAGTTCATCACCATGTTGAGTGCTATATGTCATTATTATTAAACATATTTAAAAAAAAATTTTTTTTGAATTTTATAACCGCCGTTGAACAGCCGATCCAATTTTTGGGTTTACGACTACTAATGTTCAACTTCGTAGCCTTGTAATTTTGAACCCAGTCCAGAAGATAAGGGAACTTCGGGATCAAGTGTTGAAAGAAATTTGCTTTCGTGGGAGACTTTTTGATGGAACTAACCCACATCTGCGATACATAGAGAGGAAAACCTCCCGCAGTTAACCTGACATCAAGGGAACTTTAACCCATGATGCGTTTACTATTGAGGATATTTTACGTCAGTCCTATGGTCAGTGCAAGTCGTGTGCGGAATTCGAATCGACCTGCCATCGCTAATGATTCGAACCCGGTTCACCTCATTGGAAGGCGAACGCTCTATCTCATGAGCCGTCACGGTATATTTTAACTGTAATAATTCAGATAGAGCAAGATTGTAATGTTTTGAAGAGCAAACTTTTTGCAGCTTTTATCCAGATCTTCAACCCTTGCTCAGTGACCTCCTGGCTCACAACGGGCAGTAGTGAAAATTTTTTACTTTTCACTCGAATTTATGAAAAAATTATGTTGTTTTAATGGTTTTTCAAAATGCTTTTAATGAGCCTTCTGTTTACCTTAATTGTTCGTCTACTTCAACCAGAAATAATTTCGGGTTCTTAAGATCACACTTAAGCTACTCTAATGGAATATTGGCTACGCTTTTGGATTCATCGTTTGGTTATTAAATATTTTGAATAATGTTCGAGAAAGAAGCAACTATTCACTAACAGAAGAAAATACTTATTCATTTTCTAGTTTATAAAAATTTATGCGCTTAGATTTACAGGGTGTATTGTTTCTTTATAAAACTAAAGTTATCTCTAATTCAAAAACTGCTTTCTAATGGTAATGAAATAGCCATTGTTTTTTATTATTTTTTTTTTAAAAAAAAAGGCTTAGATCTAAGCATTGGATTTTTTTAAAAAACTAAAATGATTGCTACCAAAACAAAAATAAGGGGATTTCGCAAATTTACGTGAGATTGCTTACTGTCCCAGCACGTAAAATTCGAAGCAACTGCGTATGTGCTGGCATTTTTTTTTTCTTTTTTAGATCAATACGTTTTATCGGCACGGTTATATTAGCATTTTTTATTTACGGATTCTTACAAAATTTAATTTAATTTGTTTTCACGTAAGTTTGATATTTTTCTTCCAGGTGCAGCGTATTTCACCAAAATGGACGTATGCACAAATCTTATGACATAATTGTACAGAGTGTAACGTAAAAGTGCGAAATCTCCTTAATATCTACATCTTTTCAGTTGTCTTTTATACACAAGGCTTCCACGAGTCTTAAAGATTTTAAAACGTTGTTCTTTAAATCAAACAAACATCGGAAATTCGTAACTTTCACTAAATATTAGTTCTCAGGGGAAATATATCTGTATCAGAATTCACCGTCAAGTCTCTAAACCTTTAATTGCGACATTTGAAAAAGGAAATTTCCATAATAACGTGAATTCACAACTACTATTATATATTTCTAATACTCGTGGGAATTCTGCAGTAATATGTATATCAATGCCCTAGATAACAACTCGGAAATTCTATCTCTCTACATTCTACAATATTTAAAGTACTAGTGAAAAAAAACAGTTAAGATATGTAGCATTTTGGATTTTACTTCGCTAGCACTTATAAACTTAATATTAATTGCAGATATTTATTTTATTCGTTTGTATATTACTGCTGTAAAATCAAAATAAATTAAATTTGTTAAATCAAAAATAAAATTATAATGTATACGATTTACTTTGGAATTAAACACTCACACAAACTTTCCGGTTAAAATGAGAAAAGTTAACAATCATGCTGTGAGAAATCAGGCTCTAATTGTTATAGGAAATTTGAATTGAAATTGATGCTTTTCCATTAAAAGGGTAAAAAAAAAAATTATTAAAATTGTGACATTGGTAAACAATCTATAGATATTTAGCATGATGTTTACCTTTTCTAATGTAGTTGGTTATGCTGATTTCAAAATGCAAAATGTTTTGCTCTATCACGTCAGGTTTTAATAATATTGAAAAAAATTTATTTTATTGGAACACTGTTGAGTTTTCATAACTGATTCAATTTTAGTAATTTTAATGGAATATTGTTTAAATTTTATTAGTTCTTATGGAATACTCTTTAAAGTTAATTAATTTTAAAAAAAGCACTATTTAAATTTTAGTAATATTAATGAAATATTGTTTAAATTTTATTCATTTTAATGGAACTTACTTGCATCGGGTGCAACCAAAGAATATTTTCATCCTCAGACACTTATGAGTTTACTAAAAACTAGTAAGAATTTCGTTGCAACGAGTGACACTAAATACTAGAACCTCAGAAAAAAGCTTAAGAAGAAAAATCAAGGAGAAGAAGCAATGAGAGAAAAGCATCGGAAAAAAGTACTTCTTCAATGTAATGTTTCATTTTAATACAATTTTTTTAAAAAAAGAGCATTTTTTTAAAAAAAATATTGAGAAAGCATTATCACAATACAATAAGTGTAATTATTGGAATTCAGAAAAATTATGGAACTGTCTTAGGGTCCTAAAAATTTTGTTAAATAATATGAATGTTAATACTCATAGTGTATGAAGTTCCGTCTATGTGAGCTTCAAATTAATCCTTGTATATGAGATTTTTCTATATATCTAATTTCATTAGAATACAATCGGACGTAAATTTAAATAATTGTTAAAGTGATTTTTTTTTTGGTGCGTTTTCTTAAAACTTTTTTTCTTGGTGCTTTTTTTTTTTAAGTTCTTTCCGGGGTTTATTCCAATGCTTTTTTCCTGTTTATCTTTCATTATTGTGTGAAAATTGAAGATGTGTACAACATTGAAGATATAACTTAAATTAAAGATGTATTTTCAGTGTGGATGGATTTTATATGTGCTGTATTTTGAACTTGATATTTCTATACAGTATATAAATGACGTGACTTAATCTGACTGTGTTATTAGCTTAAGATATGAGATGATGGTTAAGATGAGATGAATGCTCAATGTAACAGTGAAATGGCTCTAGTGAAACATAAATTGTAATTAAGATATGAGATGATGGTTAAGATGAGATGAATGCTCAATGTAACAGTAAATGGCTCTAATGAAACATAAATTGTTTGAAGAAAAAAAAACTGTGAGTGATACCTAAAGACTGTGAGTGATAGAGATAAATGGTTTGCATATTATGAATCAGCAAACTTTATTTGTCTTAGAAAATGTATTAGATACTAAGATATACGCAACTTTTTAAAATTTGTTTATCAGTGTCATCTGTCGATATGTTCTTTCTTTTAGTATTATTTTCTGTAGACTGTTATCAATTGTGGCATTAAACTTTAGTACGTGACAAAGAAGCATTAAAATCTGTCTTGATACAAATGTTATTCTTTTATCAAAATCTTGTCACACAAACACTTTTAACAGCAGGTGACAGTTCGTGAAAACGAACACATGTCCGAAATCAATCGATATCCATTTCAATCCTTACAAAATAATGACTCAAATAACCTTGAAAACGGAAGAAAAAGTTTGAAAAACAATCTAAGCAATAATTAATAATTAAAATTTTTAATTTTCTTATCTTACAAATAAATAAATAAGAGTAAGAAAAAAATGTTGATTGTTTTAAGAGTTATGATAGATTCTGTCATCAATTTCATAATATTTCTGAGATAGATAACTTCTTTCAATCGTTTGCTCATTTAAAAGATTTCTTGTGACGTCACATTCTGTCTCTCCTATTATTTGTAATAAAAAGCTCAAAACCAGTTACGCTATTATAAGGTTGGGTAACATGGCGGGCGGTAATTTACGAATCACTCTTTTGACTTTAACAATTTTCTTTACTTGGAATTGGATTGATTGTTCCAACCATGAACCAAATATGGCACCTGGTCGTACCACCATAGTCCATCTTTTTGAGTGGAAATGGAACGATATAGCTATAGAATGCGAACAGTTTTTAGGCCCTTATGGATACGGTGGTGTTCAGGTACATAGTTTTGATTATTAGTATTGTAATTCAAGTTTTTAATTCCTATATTCATAGATTGTTATTTTTTTTGTTCTGTAGACAGATCAGTTAAAAAGTTTTTATCCAAGTATCTTCCATTTTATATTGTTTTTATTTGAATGCTTGTTATATTTTTTCACCGGATTTATTATATAATAATCCAGTTTACGGCTAATAACAATGTCAAATGCAGTATTCATAAATGTAAAATATAACGAAGCCACAATGAAGATGAAGATTATGGATTATTCGATCATATCATATATTCTATCATGGACTACAATTATCTGAAAGATGATTTACATTTATGCATATTTCAAAAAAGTATCTGACGTATTTTAATTATTCATTCAATCATATTTTTGGAGAGAAAAAACAATACTGGAAATTATATTTATATTATTAAATGGAATGGTTTGCGCTCGTGTCCTTCTTATAACTCCTGAATTGTTTCGGATAGGGTCCTGAAGTTTGGACATCAGGTGGAAAAGGGAACGTTGGCCCCCGGTTACAAAGTTGCTCAAAAATTTTAATTAAATTGTTAGAGAAAAATATTTAAAAATTTTTTTTCCCTCATTGATTTAGAATTAGTCCTTGTTATAAATAAAATCATAATATAAATGTTTTATGCTTATACGTTGAGTTGAGAGGGTTTCTGAAAAAATTCAAATTTCTAGGCGTTAGGGCCAATTTTTTGCAGCCGGTTGTTATGTATTTAAAATCAGCTCAACAGCATTTTGCTTTTATAAAATTCCGTAAAGAAAATTATCCTTTTTAAATTTAACTAAGAAGTTCCACCTCTTGCTCGCTCCGTTAGCCAACACAGTAACTCAGAGATGCCAACTGCTCCGGAAACGCCATAATAATTTAAAAACGGTAAACAACTAGAAACTAAAATTTGCAAATATTTGACTAGAGCCGCGATGGCTCAGGGGATAGAGCGTTCGCCGTCTAATGAGGCGAATCTGGTTCGAATCCCAGTCGATACGAATTCCGCAACCGGCTTGCACCGACCACAGTGCTGACGTGAAATATCCTCAGTGGTAGACGGATCATGGGCTAGAGTCCCCTTGCCGTCAGGCTAACAGCGGGAGGTTCTCGTGATCTTCCTCTCCATGTAACGCAAATGCGGGGCAGCTCCATCAAAAAGTCTTCCACGAAGACAAATTTCTCCCAATACTCGATCCAGGAGTTCCCTTGTCTTATGGATTGGGTTCAAAATTACAAGGCTACGGAGTAGAGCATTAGTAGTCAAAAACTATTTGGCTTACTTTTTAAACGGTATAGCTTGACATAACTACAGAGATGCCAACTTGCTCCGGACAGCAAATATATATTTTGAAGTGGCAGCTTATCGATTGTGATTCTTGGTTTAATAAATTCAATTTAGTAGATTTTTATCCACCACTATTTCTAAATAATTCGTAGGCTTATATAATTCACCACTTTATAGTACTTAAGTCATGCTATACCTTTTAAAAAGCAAGCAAAAATAGTCAAATATATGCAAAATTTACTTTGCAGTTACTTACCGTTTTCTTTAGTTACTTTGACATGTCCGGAGCTGTTGGCATCTCTGTAACTTTATGAAAGTGGCGAATTACGTAAACTTTCGAATTATTTAGAAATAGTGGTGGATGAAAACCTAATAAATTGAATTTATTAAAAATAAACTACCACTCGAAAATATTTATTTGCTGTCCGGAGCAAGTTAGCTTCTCTGAGTAACTGCTTATTCTTCATCATTTTTTTCTTCCTTAACCCTTTCGCGCCTACTATCATAAATACGTGCCAGCATAAAACCGTATCAATCAGGGTAAAAATATAAAACTGGTAATCAAAGTAATTCTTTAGCAGTTTATTTGTGGGCGGAGTTATAATTGTTTGATTTATTTAATTCACCATTACTTTGTTCAAAATAAAACTATTTAGTTATACTTTGAATTAGCATTGATTACATATATGATTAAACTAACAATAATTAAAGTAAAGAAGTAAGTCTGTCAAATTAGCAACGACTTTATTTAAGTTACCGTTTTTTATTTAATTACAACTTGATTCTGATTTTGTACGAATGCTTTTCTGAATCACCCGTCCCCAAGGGGTTAAATGCCAATATTTTCCAGAAAAAAACACGGAACAAAATGTTTCCAAAATATACAATTATTGTACCTATATTTAAGAACGTTTTCTTTATCGTAACGAAACAGACGATTATCTAAATTTTAAAAATAATCATCTGTACTTGAAAAAAAAACCCTTAAAGAATGCAGGTTATGTGATTCGATAAGAAGAAATAAATAAGAGGTAATTTTACTTATTGACGAGATTCATAACAATTCAATTAGGGAACGGTTTCTACCGTTCCATATTAAGTTTTTTATTTTTAAAAATTTTAATAACAACGTTAAGGCAACATGTAATTTCTCGCAATCATTTTTTCTTCTTCTTTTGCTACTGTTGATTGACATCTGCTCGAGCGTGAGCTAATAATATAAAGAAATAAATTCTCATGAGAGAAAAAATTAAGTTTTCTCTCATCAATGGATAAATAATTGAAGAAATATTGGATAAATATTTAAAGAAAAAAAACTAAGGAAAAATTCACGAAAAAGCACTTAAATTTGCATTAACTTTCGAACAAATTTGAATTTCAAACACAAAATTTAAATTAAGACCGCAAATAAAAATGACTCTTTCAGCACAACAAATTTTAAATCTGTGGTTGTATTTCAGCGGGCTACAGATTGACCAAACATTGTATTTTTTCCTATATCTAATTTCATTAGANGGTTCGAATCCCAGTCGATACGAGTTCCGCATCCGGCTTGCACCGACCAGAGTGGTGACGTGAAATATCCTCAGTGGTAGACGGATCATGGGTTAGAGTCCCATTGCCGTAAGTCTAACCGCGGGAGATTCTCGTGATCTTCCTCTCCATGTAACGCGAATGCGGGTTAGCTCCATCAAAAAGTCCTCCACGAAGGCAAATTTCTCCCAATACTCGATCCAGGAGTTCTCTTGTCTTCTGGATTAGGTTCAAAATTAGAAGGCTACGGAGTTGAACATTAGTAGTCGTAAACCCATAAAATTGGGTCGGCTGTTCAACAACAGTTATTAAAAAAATATATTTGACTAATTTTGTTTACTTTTTAAACGGTGTAGCATGGCATAACTATAAGTAAGTGGCGAATTATGTAACCCTTCGAATTATTTAGAAATAGTGGTGGATAAAAACCTAATAAATTGAATTTATTAAACCAAGAATCACACATTAATGAACTACCACTCGAAAATATTTATTTGCTGTCCGGAGCAAGTTTTGGCATCTCTGAGTAACTGCTTATTCTTCATCATTTTTTCTTCCTTAAATGCCAATAACACAGAACATTTTTTTTTTTTCAAAATATACAATTATTGTACTTTTATTTAAGAATATTTTGTTTATCGTAACGAAATAGACGATTACCTAAATATAAAAAATAATCATCTGTACTTGAAAAAAAATATGTAAAAAAAATAAATAAATGAGAAATAATTTTACTCATTGACGAGACTTATAACAATTCAATTAGGGAACGGTATCTACCGTTCTCTATTAAGTTTTTTATTTTTCAAAATTTCAATATAAACGTCAAGATTTATATTTGGCAACATGCAATTTCTCTCCATCTTTTTTTTTTCTTCTTCTGCTACTGTTGATTGACATCTACTCGAGCGTGAGCCAAAAGAAATAAATTCTCATGAAGGAAAAACAAGTTTTCTCTCATCAATGGCTAAATATTGAATATTTAAAGGGAAAAAATACTGAAAGAAAAATTCACGAAAAAGCACTTAAATTTGCAATAACTTTTGAACAAATTGGAATTCCAAACACAAAATTTAAATTAAGTCCGCAAAAAAACGACTCTTTTAGCACAACAAATTTTAAATCTGTGGTTGCATTTCAGCGGGCTACAGATTGACCAAACATTGTATTTTTTCCCTACAATTTTAACAGTTGATAATTCTTGAACTAGTTGTTGAATTTAAATTTTTTTTAATTTCTTCGTTACTCCCTGTATCTTTTCTACATAACTTCATAATTTAAAATTCCTAAGTGTTATACACTTTGTACAGAAAAGCAAAATTTAATGTAAAGGAAAAATAAGTAAGAAAAAGTTCGCTTAAAAAAAATAAAACACTTACTAAAAAATTACTTCCCTCTGCATGTAATGTAAATGTGGGTTAGTTCCATAATAAAGTCCTCCACGAAGACTAGATCGTCGCATTGCTTGACCTAGGAGTTCCGTTGTCTTCTAATCTGGGCTCAAAATTACAAGGCTACGAAGTTCTACATTGATGGCAGTAAAGCCAAAAGTAAGTCAGCAGTTCAATACCAGATATAAAATGAAATAAAATAATTTAATTAAAAAAAAAGAAAACATTGGAAAGAAAACCTAAATTCATACTTTAAATTCCTTGTTCATGCTTTGAAAGTGTAAATTATTCTATTGTAAAAAAAATATAATTATCTAAATTTTAATTATATAAAATTTTATTTTTAAACTTGGAAATTTTAATGATATTTTTTTTTAAATTGTGAGAACATTATTACTTCTTTGTAAATAATTTTGCTTGAATATAATCAAAGTAGCAATAGATTTGAAATTTTAGTGTTTTTAGTAGTCTATTGGCTGCCACGCTTCAACTAGATATTTGAAGCCGTTGTTTCAGTAAACTTTCCAGCACCCCCAATACCTCAGCAATGTCTTCTAACTCTCACTTTTTTCTAAATATTTATAAGCATATTTTTCATTATTAATTTTTTTTATAGCGTTGAAACTGTACTGGTTTCGATCGTAATTGCCCTATATTCCTATACCCTTGACAAATGATCTTCATACTGATATGTTCAACTGCTGATGGGACTACTGCTACGTATTCTTTTTTAAAAGGAAAAAAAAAATTTAATGAGAATTCTATGATCCCCAATTTCTAAACGTTACTGTAACATCTTAAAAAGAAAATTACCACTGGTATTGACATAGATTTAGTATCACTATCATAAATTTATTAGACTCGAGGTTGCAATACTATTATGCGTTAATTTGGCTAAAATCATTTATATCAAATTAAGAGTTTATAGTAATATAATGTAAGCAACACTTATTTCCAATGTGATATTTTTTTGCACCCACAGTTCCTTAGTATTGTTTCCAGATTAGTACTGAACAAGTTAATTTTCACTGGATTACAGCGCACTAAATAAAAACATTTACGTGGAAATTTTTCTGTTTTTAGCCTAAAACGTTGTCCTGAACAATTTGAAAACGTAAAACTTGAAAAATCCTCACCAAAACAGCGTAATTTATTAAAATTGGTTTTTACTGTAGGTCTCCCCTCCCAATGAAAATGGGATAATTGTGTCTCCTTTCTGGAATTCGGAGATCAAAAGACCCTGGTTTGAAAGATACCAGCCTGTCAGTTACAAGCTTGTTACCAGGAGTGGAAATGAACAGGAATTCAGAGATATGGTCAGAAGATGTAATAATGTCGGCGTCAGGTGAGTTTTGTTTTAGGTAATAGTTCCCAGAAACTTCTTCAAAAAGATAAAGACTGGTAAATCAATCATTTCATTCTGGAAATTTATCTCGCCAAATAAGACATTCGTGTTCACTGTAATATATTAATAATATGGTTATCTATATTGATAAAAAGTTATTAACTAGTGTAGAAACAGTGTGCCACAAAAGTTTGGGCATTTCATGCAATTGGATACCTGCAAGTGACATCATCCTATGTAAATCATGGTATTTATCAATTCAGAAGCCAATTAAGTTCGACACACAAGCGTGACGTCACTTAAAGGTATCCAATCAAATCTGATTTGAATCACATTATTATTTCACTTTTTCTTGAGGTATAAATACCCAATTCTTTTGTAACTTTCAAAAGAATTCGGATATTTTTTCAATTATTTAACTGTAAGTATAATAAACAGCCAGGAGAAGATTCGAAGCAAAAGAGAAGCAATCGTTAAAAAATGTAGGCGAGGAAAAATAAAATTTGAATTTTACCCACCCCAAGGGTTTAGGCACAAGAGTAAATAAATACAAAATTTGTAACAAGTTACGTCACATTCGAAGGTTCTGACAACTTCAACTTTCATTATGTTTCCTTGGGGTTGTTTTTAAATTTCAGTTACAATACCAAGGTTAAAGCAATTCGTACATGAGAAAAATGTGGAAAAATTCCTTTTCTATCAAATAATTACACTTTCAGTAAAATTATTGGGAAAAAATATGTACAATTTTAAAATTTATGAAAGTAAATATATACCTAAACTTTAATGGCGCATGGCATGTAAAAGATAACTATTCTTCATGAAGTTATCTTTCACATCTCATCGAAATGTTGAGTTTTTGCAACTATAATTCTAAATGAGTAAAGTTACTGAAAGAAATGTTAAGCAGTTATACTATTGTAATCATGTCTGTTTACTGGAAAATCATATGTGTGTAGAATATATAAGATCGGCCCTAACTTGAATTCATTTGTGCCTAACGTCTTTGTAAAAGTTGTCTTTTTTCAAAGTTAAAGTGGTAGTTAGCAAAAGGAAATCTTTAACTCAGTTTAAACCAATAATACTACACCTTTTTCTACAAAGCCGCTTTGTGAATTACTGCAAGATTTGTGGGTGAATGAACATTACCCATTAGGATTTATTACCCCTTTTGAGAATTAACCCATTAGGGTTAATTACATTTAAGTCCATCATTTATTTGCATGTTTTATCGTTCTTTCATTATTATTATTTACTATTGTTATTTTTTGCAGAATTTATGTAGACGCTGTAATCAATCACATGACTGGTAATATAGGAAGAGGACATGGAACGGCTGGAAGTTTCTTTGACCCAGATGCACCACAATACGATGGAGTTCCTTATGGTGCTGGAGATTTCAATGGTCGAGATAAATGCCCAACAGGCTCTGGAGATATAGAAAATTACAATGACAAAGTTCAGGTATTAAAGATTTATTTTAACTACATTTAACTAACAACATAGAATCCCAGATAGCAAAATAAGGTTTATTTTCTGTCAACGAAAACTTTTTAATGTAAACCTGAAAAGGTTTGTAATACGATTTACGTGTAAACCTTCTAACCTTAAAACGAGATCTGTGACTACCTTCTCTATTATACGAACATTACCATAATGCAAAACCTTGGAAAACAATCTTCTATAAAAAACCTTCAATCGAGGTTGACTTAGGGTTTTCTAGGGTGAAAAGGCGAAAATAATCTTAAATCTAGGTAATTATAAGGTTTCTTTTCGCAAAGTCTTGTATGCTCAGCTAAAATCCACCTTGTCATGAAATGGACAATGCAATTTGATCCTATCGCTAGTGTGACGTCAGCTAAAACGTCATAGGCAAACGTCATAGTGACAATACTTTTTAAAAAAGCTTTACAAAAATAATTTTTAATCCTTTTAGGATGAAAGGTTTGAAACTACAATATTTTTGCTTTATTGAAAAAAGGTTTTTAGAACAAACATTTTCGTGACAATAAAAATACAAGGTTGCCGTAAGAATGGGAATTAGACTACAACTCAAATAGATACACTCACAATCTCACACAAATTAGTAAGTATAGTATTAAATTTGACGGATAAAATTTTCCAAAATATACAAATTGAAAATTCTATTTTCAAAGAAAGTGTATGTTAAGTGTTAGTAAATACTGCACTGAATACCGCATTTGCGTACTACACAGTTAGAAATTGTGGAATGTATTGAAACAGATTAGTGTTCAAATTCACTGCAATATTAATACGATGCTAAACTGAACCCAGTGGTTATAGAGACTATTTTTTTTAAATCAATTGCAGCTTTTCTACAAATGTAGTTAGCAACTATTTTTCTTAAAAAAATATAATAACTACAAAATTTTTTTCGAACCGTAGTCAGTACCTAACAACTTAAAGAGGGCACATTTTGCTGGAGAATTCAATTGAAATTCAGATTCAAAATTAAAAAAAAGAATAAAGAATATGGTTTATTTTAATATGTATGTATTCGAAAAAAATGGCTCTTACACAAGCCTCCAAATTTTTGTATTATTTTTTATTTGCTATTTCTTATGTTGGCCTTAAATTTTTTATGCAGGCTGAAATACTAATTTCAAGCGTACAACTTTTTTTGATAATTATAAATTTGCAAATCCTGCTTGTTGTGTTATTCCTTAACTAAGTAATTTAAGAGTTAATATTTAAATCCTTTTTTATTTTCATTTTCTCAAAATTTATTTTCCGGTCTTGAAGTTTTTACTCAAGTTGTTTACTAAGCAAATTTATTATTATAAAGAATTTTTGTGAATTTTTTCTTCAACTTTCAATTTTTTTTGTGGTTTTTGAGAGGGAATTTAAGTAAATAAATACTAATAAGTTATCAAATATTCGTGATTTTAGAAAGCTTTAAAAGTTCTTTAATTCCCTTTAAGAATTAGCAAAGTACATCGGGGACATTCTGATCAAGCTGACATAAGATTTGCACCAATCATATTCGAATTTGAACTTTGTTTTTTTCAATTAACTAACTGTATAAGTAGTTATAAATTACTGTTTTTAATTCTTTCTTTTTTTGCCATGAAAAAAAAGTTTCTTTGCATGTAGTGCTTTAGTTACGACCTCTGATTGTACCGTATTATCGTACTTCTCAAACTTGATTGCACGATATTATGGTTCAACTTGAATGCGAACTTGGTAGAATTCAACACATTATTATGGTAGCAGCAAATTTGTCCCGTTAGAAAAATTCAAGGTGTTATTCCAATTATAACGATTCATTATGGTTCAAGATTGATCAGAATTTTCTAAAGGTGTTATTTTTGTGACTCACTGTAGATGTTAATCATTACTATTCTGCAACATTCCTTCATTCACCTAAAAACAAAAAGTAATTTTCCAGTTTCGTTACATAAAAAGGCATTCTTTTGTTGTTAGGCTTTTAATTTCACCCACCTGAAAACAAAAAGTAATTTTGTAGTTCCATTAACATAAAAACACATTCTTTTGTAGTTAGGTATTTAATTTTACCCACCTGAAAACAAAAAGTAATTTACTTGTTCCATTACAGTAAAACACATTCTTTTGTTGTTAGGGTTTTAATTCCATCCACCTGAAAACAAAAAGTAATTTTCCAGTCCCATTACTTAAAAACACTTTCTTTTTTTGACAGGTCCGTAATTGCAAACTATCTGGACTTCATGATTTGGATTTAGGCAAAGATTATGTGAGAGGAAAAATCGCTGGGTATTTGAACAATTTGATAGAAATAGGTGTTGCAGGTTTTCGAGTTGACGCCGCAAAGCACATGTGGCCTGAAGATTTGAGAAATATTTTTGGCCGATTGAATAACTTAAATGAATTTCATTTTCAACCTGGTACAAGACCATTCATCTACCAAGAAGTGATAGACTTAGGAGGCGAGGCTATCAAGTCTGATGAATACACGAATTTCGGTAGAGTTACTGAATTTCGATTTGGAAAACATTTGGGTAAGTATGCTAATGCATATTATCTTCTTATACAATTAAGGCACTAACTTTCAAAACCAGCAGCCTCTCAAGAAATTTATTTTCCAATTCTTTACAAGTCAACTTTTTACCGTTTTCTGAAGAGAAAAAAAACATTTTATTTTTTTAACACTTTTTATGAAATTTAAAAGTCTTACTTTAATAAAATGTTTTTTAAAAAAAACTTAAACTAGTTTATATTTCTCATAATTTTTTAAATAATTGTTTGATGCTTTAGTTACTTAGATTTTTTTAGAAAGCTGTACATCTTTACTAAAAGAAAAGGGGGACAGAGATAGAAAATTTTCAAAAATAACGTTACTTATAGAGTGGTTTGAAAATTGAAAATATGCATATTTGTTATTGAAGATCAAGGTTTTCCAGTAGATTTTCTTAAGTGTTTCATTTCATAATAATTTTCTTACTGTCACTGAAGTTCGAAGTATTAATTTTGAACATGAAAATTAAATTTTGTTTATTAATTCTTTTAAAAATGAATTCTATTCCCGGAAACCTAAATATTTTTCTCTAATTTGCCGTAATTTCTTTTTGCTAAATATGTCATCACGGTAACAACTTTTTATCGACTTAATTTTTTTGAATTTCAAAAGAAATTTTTTTTCTGTTGGCATTCTATGAAATATCTGAGAATAAATTAATTCAAAGGTAGGAAGCATTTCAATTTTTTCAGCTATTGTAATATTTTTTTTATTAATGATTTGAGTTTTTAGATTCAATATTTTTTCTTCAAACTTAAAGAAACAAAACAACTACTGGAGAAAAATATTTGCAACTAGTTTCCAAATTTGTTGTATAAGTATTTTTCTGTATGTCATAAGAGGTAAATATTTTCTTAATGCCCTCTTTAAACTCTGATTTATTTCAGGTGATGTCATTCGGAAGAATTTCAACCAGCAACTGAAGTTCCTGAAAAATTTTGGGGAAGGCTGGTCTTTCGTCTCTGGGTCAAACGCCCTCACCTTTGTTGATAACCACGATAATCAACGCGGTCACGGTGCCGGAGGTTATGGCAGTATCCTAACCCACAAACAATCCCGAATGTACAAGATGGCCGTGGCCTTCATGTTGGCCTGGCCCTATGGAGTGCCTAGGGTGATGAGCAGTTTCAGCTGGACTGAGAACATAGTGAATGGCAAAGATAAGAATGACTGGATTGGGCCACCTCATGATGATAACTACAACATTAAAGACGTAAAGAGGAATCCCGATTTGACTTGTGGAGATGGCTGGGTATGCGAGCACAGGTAAACAAGCATGAGCATATACAGAGTGTTCCATAATTACCACCTAAAATACATATTATTAGAATCCTTGCCAAAAAGCATGTCAAAATTTCATCGAGATAGTCAAGCGAGTTTCTACTGTAGAAAGCAAGCCTAAAAACATTAAAACATGTTTGATTGTCAGATGAAGCAGAGAAACGTTGAGGGTAATGATTGGAAACACCCAAAAGTTTCATCAGGAAAATAAACTGGTATTGATGATCTGGGTTTTTTTTATTAGTGATTCTGTAAATTGAAAAAGTTTTTGTTTCTTCTTCGCTTAAATATTAGTTTGAAACGATTAACATCTCTTTTTTTTTTTCATTTTCATTTCTGACAAGGATTCTATAACTACTATTAATTTATAATAATAAACATGATAATCTTAATAAATAATAATCTTAATCTAATTAACGATGCCCGGTGGCTGAGTGGTAGCGCTTTGGGCTCCCGTGCCACAGATTCTGGTTTCGATCCTCGGGCCGGGCAAGGTTGACTCAGCCTTTCAGTGGGTCGATAAATGAGTACTAAGCATGCTTGGGAACTAAACACTGGGGGTTCTGCGTTCGGCTGACTACCTGACCGGAACATCTGCTCCTGCACCCCAGAGCCCAGGGTCAAGAAAACTGAGATGGGCACAGTAGGGCTTGGGCCCTCTATGGGATGTCACGCCACTGAGTTCAGTTTTTTTAGAATCTAATTAACACCTTTTGTTTCTTCGTTAGAATATTAGTTTGGAACTACTAATACATACACTTTTTTTTAACTTCGATACTGACAAGGATTCTAAAATTACTGTAAAAATACTTCTGACAAGGAATCTAAAAATTCTACCTTTATAATATTATAAGACAGGAATATTCTTACTGGCCTACATTTTATACCAATAAGTTTAATTATTTTTACCGAATGTTTTTTACAGATGGCGTCAAATATTCAACATGGTTCGATTCCGAAACGTGGCTGGTATGGAAACAGTTCAGAACTGGTGGGACAATGGATATCACCAGATAGCCTTCAGCCGAGGAAACAAAGGATTTTTTGCAATGAACAATGAAGGCCATGCTATTAATCAATCTCTCCAGACTGGATTGCCCCAAGGAACATATTGTGATATAATATCCGGTAACAAGGACGGAAATCGTTGCACTGGACGATCGGTGCAAGTAGATGGATCTGGTCGTGCACAGATTGCGGTGGATAGTACTTGGGATGATCCCATGATTGCAATTCACATTGAGGTATTCCTTTTTTCTTTCTTCCTTCCTTAACTCATTTCTTTATATCAGTGTACATGTGGAAGAATACACTGATATATGTGGAGCATACCGTTTTAAACGTATTACATTTATATGCGCAGTAAAATTATAATGACGTAGTGGTAAACGACGTAGATTCAGCGTAAAATCATTGTCGATGATGATTAGATAATATGGATAACTTTCCAGATAATGGAATGGCGGACAGCGTTAAGTCACAGAACATAACAGTTAGATTATACAAGTAGATGTGGTATATATAATGTAGATGTTGAATTTACCAGCGTCTCAGGACATCGGCAGTTATATAATGTGGATAACTTCTCAGATGTGGCCAACAAAAGACATCCACAGTTTTATAGTAAAGGTAAATATTTAAATGTTGGAAACACACCAACGTGATGTTAGAAGGCATCGACAGTTATTTATTATGGAAAATTTTCAAGGGCTTGGGGTGGTAAGTAACGTTACGTCACAAAACACCGACAGTTATAAAATAGGGATATTTAGGCAGATGGATTGGCTAGCGTGATTGGAGCATTTTATAATAAGAATAACTTTCCATATGTTTGGATCACCAACGTGATTTTCCTTACTGGGAAATAAATATGTTATGCATGACTTGCCTTGTGTATACCACGTACTTTGTTTGAACTTGCCAATCATTGATATCAACAGTCAACAAAAAGAGATAAAACATAACATTGTGTATTTGTTATAAATAAATATGAAATATTACATCAAAGGAGAATTCTTAAAATAGAGTTCCAAATTTTCGAAAACAAATTAAGGAAAACAATAGAGTAGGAAATGTTTTCAAAACTAATTTACCACATTAATGCATTGATCATAAATTGCAACTAAATGCTTTAATTAAGACTCAATTATTTGTTTGATTATACCGAGTTTTTTCGGGTTCGCACATAATGCAATTAATTATTCTCCCGAGTAAACTCCAGCTTAGCAAACGCGTCAGTAAGATTCATTTCATATCGTTTTTACTCCTCAAAAGAAAATATTCTGCTTCAATTGCTAGTTTGCGAACCTTTGTTAGAGATTTTTAGCGTGCACCTGTAAAACTTTAAAGGTAATATATTTTATCACTCGAGAAATTTCAGATTTTAGACAAACGTCACTTTATTAACTATGACTATTGACAGCACATTTTAAATAAATAAAAAAATACATTTTTTCTTCATGGTGCTTAAGAATCGTTATTGGAAAAGGATGGAACATTAAACAACTACGACCATAGACAGCACATTTTAAATAATAAAAAAAAATAAGTTTCTGCTTCATAATGCTTAAGGAATCATTATTGGAAAAGGATGGGACGTTAAGCAACTACGACCATAAGCAGCACATTTTAAATAAATAAAAAAATACATTTTTGCTGCATGGTGCTTAAGAATCGCTACAGGGAAAGTATGGAATATTAAGAAGAAAAAAGTTCTATATTTCTAGTGATTTGTAATATTTTTTGAAAAATTAGTGATTCGCACGTTGCAATGGAACAGTTGGGCTATTTATTTCTAGTAAAGGTAAATTAAAGAATTTTTTAAATTGAAATTCATATGAAGTAGTAATTGATATAAGAAAAAAAAACTAATTTAGCTTATAAAAAATTAATTTAAATTTTAATACCATTTTTTTGGTGGTAACCACGACCTATTAGGAACTTATTATCTTTTATTTTTCTTTATTTATAAAATAAATTTTATAAATGATTCAAACTTCAGAAGGAAATATGCATTTTATAACTTTTATACGTTTTCTTATACTAAAAAATGGCTGCCAATTTTATTCAAATGCTTTTTAAGAAAGCTGAAGTCATTAACAAATGGAAATCTAAATTAAAAATGGTAGAAAAGTTACCATGGACTTTAAAAATTGGTGGTTAGTACCGCTGCTTTAGAAAGGGTTAAAACATAAATATAATGTTTTGTTACAAATCCTTACATTAAGTAATGGAATAGAAAATATCTTAATTTTTTGCAGTCAAAAAATTGACAAGGAAAGCTGTTTAAGGAGCAAATCATTTCTTGCATCACAAAAACGCACGTAATTATTTAATTACGCATTGCTAATGCTATCAGACAACAATCAATTAAGGTTATTCACCCTTTCTACATTATCGTGCTTATAAGCCTTAATTATTGGGGTGTTTAATTGATGTAATTCTTGACAATTTTGTTCTTATTGCATGTTACTAATTACCATGATAACACGAATTATCTTTAATAGTAATTGCGTAGTAATAAAAAATTGTTCTTGTAGGCTAAACTTTGAGAATATTTGAAGAGATGATTTATGATTGGATAATTTGAATCAGACACCATTTCCTATTGGATTTGTATATCAGTATATAATATATGCATGATTTGTTTTATGTATAGTTTTTTTTTAGTTGAAATAAAATGTTTCATCAGAAGATTATTTTATAAAAAAGATTTTGTTTTTAATTTTTATGTGTTTTTTTTATTGAACTTTGTGTAGTTGATGGGTGCAATTCAATATAATGATAAGCCACATATTCAGTTATCCAGGAAAGCAATTTGGGCTATTGCATGTACACAATAAGACTGCTACAGTGGCGCAATCTGTAAAAGCGTCGCGTACTTTACTGGTGAAGAACTGAGGGTCGTGAGTTTGATCCTGGCAGCAGACTAACCAACCAGCTTGTGTTTGCAGCAAGATGTGCTTTAAATCCATCGTGTCTTAAAGTACTCTTATTAATTGCGGTGTGGTATAGTTTGCGGAGAGGGGTACCAGCTCACGCGTGGTACATGTCGTCTAACCGGGGTCAAAATTATGGGGCATTACTGTCATGGCACCGTTATAGAGCCTTGAAAAACTGATCTAGGTGCTTGGCCGTGGTTAGGTGGTGTGATACGATGTTTTTGTGCTATCGCAAAAATGGAAACAATACCAATGATCAGTAAAATGTTATAAAGAAAGTGTTAAGTTAAGTGCTTTTCTAAAAGAATTGTACAACAAGAAAGTTAATCACTTTAACTTTAGACAAGATTTTTATTTCTGTGTCTTTTCGGTATAAAAATTACATAAAAAAACAATCTTATAGAATAATTTTCGAATATTGATTACATCATTTTGATTTTATAATAATCACTGATTTGATCATATTTACTGCAGACGTTTTTCGCTTCCGACTAGTTAAAAAATAGTAAAATTTATTGAAACTTCAGCTTGAAATTATAAATTTTTTGTATTGTCCAACAAATTTAATAAATCTAATGACAAGAATGTACTATTTTACATAGTTACTATCTCAAATTTCTGTTTAATTATTACTCGAAATATAATATTTTTAAAAAATAATTCAGGGAAGTTCATTTTACGGCTATTGAAATAAAAACATCAGATCCTACTAAACAACTGAACATATGCAGTCACTGTTTGAAAAATTCTTGTTAAAACTTCTAAAAAGAATTTACCCCGTCGTTTCCGTAGAAATGAAATTTTGAAAACGCTGTTTTTCAGAAAAATATATACACTTTTTCTGGATTAATAAACGACTTTCCTTATCTCTGATCAAAAACTTAATGTCACCATTGCCACAAATGTTTAAATTAGATTCTATAGTGATCTAAAATATATAAACTGATATACAAATTTAAATATAAAATCAAAAACTTTTATCTATCAGTTTTAATCAAATAATAATTTTTTAAAATATTTAACCAACCAAGAAAACATAATTTTCGAAATTTGCGATCTCGTTCTCATACTTATCATTTAAAACTGAGAAAGTTCTCTTCCATCCTTGATAAGACTGATCCTAACGTATGCTTTGGCTGCCAAACTTCCTTAACAAGGAACAACAATGCCATGGGGATCACCGCTGACCCGCGAAGCCCAGATTATTAGAAACACATAATTCGATTAAATTTTTTTATATTACATACCTGCCAACTTTTACGCATTTGGCGTAAAATTTTATTTTTATATTTAAAGTGGTAGTAAATATATACTATTTTTTCTTTTAAAAATTTAGTTTTTAAATTATTTTGATCACCACTATTCTTACAAAAATTAAGCTTATATATTAATAAGCGTTACTATCATGGTTGGTAACTTAATTTTTTTCAAATACGACGTATTTGTTTGCTTAAAATTGAAGTTTTAATACCACTGGGAAAAATCATAATGGAAGGGATTAAAAGTTGGCAGGTATGATATTATCGTTACTAAAATGGTTTGAAGAAATTAAGGCAATATAGAACACACAAAAAGAGTTTTATTTTTAAAAACAGAGATGCAAAATTGCTCCGGACAGCGAATAAATATTTTCTAGTGGTAGTTTATTATTATAATTCTTGGTTTAATAAATTCAATTTAGTAGATTTTATCCACCACTATTTTTAAACAATTCATAGTCTTATATAATTCGCCACTTTTTCCAGAAGTCTCCCGCCGAAATATGTTATTTTATCATGTATCAAGGTATGACTTATCTATATTCATCAATTATGTCTTTCATTTTTCAAAAATCAATTACTGTACATATCAAATCATGTTTTATTTTTAATTTAAGTCTACAATCAATATTTCTAGTGTTATGTAAAAACGTCAATTTGTCACATTAAATTTTTTCATTGTTTTATTATTTCACAAGCAAACGGCTTGATTTTTTTTTATGGCTACCACAATGTATTCGAATGAACTTCAATGTATGTCATAATTAAATATGTGCTAGTTAAAATATCGAAATTTAATTAGTGAAATATGTATTAATTTATGTTAATATTTATTTATGTCAACTTATGTATATATATGTCAAATTATGTTTATATTTATGTATGCCAACTTAGATTCGATGAATCAGATATTCAAATGTTATATTTACTCAAGCAAGACACTACTAGCTACCACATCGACTGCTAAATTTCTAAATGTTATTACTATAAATTTTCTGTAAATTTCCAGATGTATGGGATATGGGCCGCTAAGTGGCACAGATGCCCAATTTTGGTAAATAAAGTAAGTAAGCAGAAGTCTCCCGCCAAACGCTCTGTTAAGCGTGAAGGTAGCGGGTTTGAATCCCGTCGTAACCCTGGATGTATTCTTTGTGATGCCTGTTCTTCTACTTGACAATGGTTTATAAGCCTTAATTGAGCACACAAGCCTACAAATGTATGTTGTACCAATAAACCCAGATATCTCATGCTAAACCTTTTAAAAAACTAGCAAAGTCTGCCTATATTTGCAAATTTCGTTTGTAGTTATTTGTAGTCGTTGAATTTAGTTTAATATTTTCCAATTCGAGAAGTAACTAGAAGACATCAGAATACGACCCACAGCAGCTTACTTCTGTAGTGATGCATCTTTCTCCAAGACACTGAAAAAGTAAAAACTTTACTTAGGCACTTTTTTCTACTTTCTTTGCATTCCAACTACCACAATGATTCTAACTACAACGATAAAAGTTCGAGACGAGGGTTATAAGCACTAAGCATGCCATTTTATGCTATCTTTATTTGAATTCTTAGAATACATTTTAATAAAAATCTAAAAAGTTTTTAAAATGGGGGAAAATGTATTTTGGATTAATATGTTATAATTTCTACATTTTGTTTTTTAAAATAAACAATTGAAATTTGGTTTGAAAAACAATTATAAGTTATTTTTAATTATGTTATTTAGTCATATTTATTTTCTTGAAAGTGGGGTTCGCGCATTGTTCATTCGAGGGCTGTATTGCGCACTCCTACTTGTTTAACCTTACCACAGTGTTTCTTTTTTTAAAACTCACAATTTCTCAAATTTTTCTTAAACTTTCTTTTAAAACAATTTTATAATTTCTATTTTTTTTAAAGCTAAAACTTTTTAAGAGTAACATCCTTTTTTGGTGCTAGTTCAAAAGTGGCTTTATTTTATTCTGTTATTGATTTTAATCTACAATGATATTTGGCTTTTAAAAGTTCTCCCAGACTGACTGGGAGAACAGCAAGAATGAAAATTAAACAACTAGTGAGTGGAATTAAGTTTTAGAAATCACACACAAGGTGCGGAATTAAATTCAAGAAATGACGTATATAGTCGTCAAACGTCGATTAAATGGTCTTATTACATATTTTACGAAACACTTACTACGAAGATATTTTTAAGAGTGATAAGATGTATATTCTTCACTTCAGAAAAATTAAATAGTGGTGAATAGTTTATAGTAAAAAAATAGTAATAACATTTTTTTCTCCTTACCAATATCAGCTGTAAATCAAACGGTAATTAATTTTTTTGTTAATTTATCTTCTATCAATTTTAGCAAGAATAGATCCTCAATTCAGGTTTAAATTTCTCTGCTATTTCCAAATTATCAGTTCTCAATATTAATGCCGCATTAGAATCAACATTCACGCAGAGTAAAGTTTCTTCTGATCAAATCGATACTCGCCAACATTTAATTTCTAACATTATTTTTTCAAATAAACACTTGAACAAATCTTATCTCACCTACTCTCAAAAACAAAATATTTAATTCTCATTCTGAAATCTCCCTTGCCAAAGCAGATAAAGGTGGGCAGACTATTATCCTCAACAAATTCGATTGCTATAATCATGCTTAGAATATGTTAACCTTTGGTCCTTACACAATTTTAGAGTCTGACCTCTCATCCTGTTGCAACTAAGAATGAAATAAAAAGTTCGTGCTCTCTTTTTGGACTACACTAAACGTAATAAGATTCCTTTTATTTCAAATTGTGCTCGTTTTTATGTCCTTCCTTAAATTCACAAGTCTCAACTTGCTTTGTCTCGAACCCAGAGCTATAAATTTGATCTCTATTTATCATCTCACCTCTAACTTCCAACAATTCGGTTAAAATTAACATATCATCACTATATTTGGCACTATAACAATCTGAATTTTTTTAAAATTTCATTTCTTATGCATCGAATCCAATTTATGCAATTATCATAATGATAAATTGGTAAAAATACTATAAAAATCGACTATATTAATTAAGTCTGACACATAATTCAATAGATTGCATAACACATAGTCAACGAAATATTTTAAGAGTTTCTAATTTCTGAGTGGTCGTTTAATAAATTAATAATAGTCATAAAATTTCTGATTTAAAGCCCAATTTCTTTTTATAGTAAAAATGAATTAAAGTAACTATTCCATAAAATGTCTAATAGTATCTGATTTATGAAAATAAATTACATTTTTTTTCTGTGAATTTCTTTCAAACGCTGAGTTTTTTTTCATTTGAATTATAATGATTAACTGTTGGCTAAAATTTATATCCAATTCAAAAAGATTCAAAATCTTTTGAGCACACTAGTTCATTCAGATTTATGATTTTAAGCGAATATTTTTAGATGCAGGTAAATAGTTTTAAATATAGGAAGAAAGATACAAGTAGCGTGGAATTAATCGTAAAACAGAGCATTTTTGACATCGACCACATTCCTCTATATAA